CCCATTGTAAAGATTCTCGCTTTTAAATTCTGTTTTTGTTCAATAATGTTGCTTCTAAAGATTTCCCATTTCAAAGATTCCCGCTATTAGAGAACCCCAATTTGAATTATTAAGACTTCCTGTTTTACAAATAGCCTACAGAGAACAGAAAGAACAACATTTACAAGTCTGTTGTTACCTTTGCCCAAAGCAACAATGTGGTAAAAGGTTTGCCATAAAGAACTCCAGCTCAAGTTGACTTTCAAAATAAATTTTCCAAACGAAGGTCAAGACAATCACGAAAGGTTGAGTGTAACAGAAAAGACAAAGCATTTTTTTTTCTCATACCGCAAAGTGTTTAACTTTCGAGTGTTGGTTTTCCTGTTGTTTAACTGTGGGTGGCCATGGGTTGGGGGCGTTTCGGCTTTTAGGATACCAATTTCCTGTTTTTCGGTTTGTTGCGGTGTTTGGTTTCTTTTTCCTGTTTTAGCAATTCGGGTTTTGGTGATAAGAGAAGTGGTGTTTCGGTTTTGGCGTGGTTAATCGCTTGCATGGTTTCAAGGCTTCCTTATTTCACTTCGGCCCGGTCAATCTGTGTAAGTATATAGATGATTCATGCAAAATATATTAAAACAGTTTCCAGCACTTTCCAAGACTTAGATTTTGATGAGCCATTGTAAACACTCCTTATCACTTGATGCTACAATCATGGTATCAAAAAACTGCCCAATCACTGGTGAACACGTCGTTATCATTTTCTCTACATGATAGGTTACCATAGCAATAATATGACCCGCTAAAAACACCTTAATTTTAACTTAAACTGTTAATAATTCAAAATTGAGCTCGGTCAGGACTTGCATTCACTATGATCGAATTTTGATTATCAGGATATGACGCAACGTTTAGCAAAATTTAAAACGTTCTGTTCATGGGGTTCAGAGCCACATTAGATTCCTGATTTTCGACAATTAAGGATGATTCTAACAGGTCACACTGTTGCTGTGGCAGCCTACTGTGTTAGGAAATGTTAAAAAATAAAATTTCTCTTCTGACGGAAATGAGTTCATTCCGTGTGCAAAGTTTTCCCATACTTTGGAAATTCCAATATGGCCACCGTGGAAAAGCCTTACAAACATGCCATAAATACGCGCAAGCCATTAGGTTTTATTTTCGCTTTTACCCGTTTGTTCCTCAAACAATATTGATATATTGATAATATGCAATAAGAACAAGTTAATAGAACAAATATTTTTATTTATTTCCCGTGTTCTATAAATATTGGAGTGGGCTTTAAAAGCCAAGTAGACTAGAGTAGTATTTGTTTTCGTGAATTTCTATGGCACAAGAAAAAAAAAAGAGAAAATATTACGACAAAAGAGTTAAAATTCTGCTCGCGCATAGGAACTCAAAAAAGAGAGCAACTACTTCAAGTCTGCTAAATTACAATAAAGAAGTTACTTTTCATTTAAATTTAACTGTGCATTTTTTAAAATAATATTGTAATATAGTTAGGACATTGTGTAATAAATAAAGCTCCTTCACAAGGCCATATTTTGGCTGAATTAAAGTGAATAAATTTTAGTATAAGAAACAATGAAAAACATTTTTTGTAAATTTTAATAATAAAAGGATATAGGCAAACTGGTGAGATAACGGTAGATTTATAGAACTGTTTGTACAGTATTAGTTTGTTTGTTTTTTATTTTACTTCAAAATAACGACATTTAAACTGATGAAACATCGATACATAAAAAGAGATTTTTTTTTCTTTGTTGAAAATATTCACTGTTCCACATTCTGACGGAATATTTGAGCTTGTTTTTGGTTATCAGATTTACTCCCAGTATATATCTTTGAGGTCAATAACCTGATTTATCGTGTACATTTAAACTTAAATGTTTTATAGACAGAGATACATAAAGGTAAATTTGTCATAGCAGTTCATGGGAACTTTTTAAAATACACAATTAATACATAAAAATACATAGAAAACTTAGCAATAATAAATATATGTTACACAATATTGGTGATAGCCAGGACCAAGTTGTTCGAAAGCTGGTTAACGCTAACCCAGGATTAAAAGTTAACAGAATTATCAACTTTTATTGAGTAAAAATGTTTTTCACTTCTTATGTTTTGTGTAGTTTGAGATTACTCAAGCTCAAAACTGAAGGTCAAGCAATATAAACAGAAAACCTCGCCGAAAAAGTGCAAAAACTGGGTTACCTTAATCAGGCTTTGAACTACCCGGCCCAGAGAAATACAGGTGCTTGAAGTATCTTCACATTCCAAAATTACAATTAACAGCTCTTGGAACCCTGGAAGGAATCCACTTGCTCCCTGCTCAACGTCAAATGGACGTTAAGGGGGGGGGGGNAGGCGAGTCCATTTCTGGACGCTAGTGGGGGGTATTTTCGACCAAAAGCTAAATCACAGTAGTAATCCATTGTAATAAAATTTACTTCATCTTGAGAATGGCATTTTGAGAGCGAGAAGTTTACACTTGCACTTGCAATCTCGAATCTCCCATTCCATGACCTTATTACAAAATCACCATCTTGCTGTTGACGCAAAATTAATTTGAAGAAAAGAATTTCAATCTTACTTCGCTAATTATTAGGTACCAGACAAGTAGGAATTTACTTGAATTTGACCCTGTTTAACTGGCGCAGGTACTTTACTCTTCTCGACAAAGTCTTCCTCGGAGCCTTCGTTTCGATTCGAAAACGAGTAGCGCTGGGGAGAGAATATCTGTCGAATATCGCTCGCACGCAATTGATCTAAACGCGTCACATGACTGAATGTTGGGGAATATCCGAGTGATATTCCCCAATTTTCAAAAGATCCCGCGTGTTACGAAAGACATTTGAAGGACAATAAACACAATTTATAGCCTCCATTTGACTTTAAAAATATTCTCGGATGTTTGTCCTTGAACTTTCTTTGTTCGACTGTTCCTCGAAGCTCACAGTTTTCCTCAAGCTTTGCTTTGAAAAACTATTCGCTTCTAGGAACAGACAATGTCCGCGGGCAAATATCCGCGCATATTTTCGCGCTAAATGGGGGCTACATTGTTTATACGAGGTCCCATTAGAGAGGGGGTTTGAGTATCTCAGATCCCATTAATTTTTGGCCTAAATATCTCATATCCCGTAAATTCCAGTTGCAAAATTAACTATTTTCCTTCTCGATTTTCCGGGACATCTGTTCTAAATATCCCTTTCCCCATTAATCCCCCCCCCCCCCTCCTCATTATCCATGTATTCCATTAATTTTTCACCTCAATTTCCCGTATCCCGTATGGGCAGCTCCTTTTTCTAGTCAGTTCTTAGTGTATACGAAGGGTTAATACGATGATTATTAAATACCAAGTGACCTTCATCACGTCAAAGTTTAATATCATATTCTCTCGGGTTTGGCCCTTCGCCCGTCGTCACGCTCGCGCTCCTTGGCTCTTTATCGGATGGTTCCACTTGTGCCCCATGTTTAATGTTCTGATAGGTCCTTTCTAGAACGGACCCATTATTATCATTTGGTTTCTCGTCTACCTTCTTGACAGTACTTAATTGGTTTTCCTCTAGTTCCAGAACGTTAATTGCTGACTCAGCGGAGGAGGGGTTTTGAATGGCGTGTGAATTCGAGGGGCTGCTCAGTTTTGGGATTTCTGTTGCCTAGCAAAAACAAAAACAGACCCAAATAATTGGACAAGTATATATAAAAATAATAATACATTTATTAGACAATTTGCTCTAATGTAAGTGAGTGATAACACTGATGTACATTCAAGTAAACATTGAAAGTCCAACATCTTTAATTTCACACTATACGTCGTCCACACTACGTCGGAAAAATTTGAAAACGCAGCTTTATTTCTACGGTTAGGCCTACCACCCACACTAATCCGTCACGGAAACGGAGCCTTTCGGAAACGCTCTTCAAACCAGAGAAATTTGAAAACGCCGGCTTTTCGTTTTCGTGTGGACGGAAAACATTTTGAAAACGTAGCTTCCTGACCGAGTTTTCCTCAAACACAAATCCAAAATGACCGGTGATTGTTGCGTTTCCAAATTCCTCCGTCGTATTGTGGACGGAAAATATTTGATGCGTTTCCAGAGTAAAACCTCCGTTTTCCAATTCCTCCGGCGTAGTGTGCACGAAGCCTTAGACAAGTAATGCTCCGTTCGTAACAAGTTTCTCTCAATGAGTGATTATTACAACCAAGAGAAAACTCCTTTTATAACTTACCGCTGCTCCTGGTCCGGCTAAAGAGAGAACAATAGGTAGAAACACAACGCCATTCAATGTACCAATCAGAATTAACGCCACAAGGAGGTTAAAAAAGTATCTGGGAGGAAAAGAATGTAGACGAAGTCATTAATTAAGAAACAATTTTTGCGCTACTCACACCGTAGAGGTCAAGATTGGCAAGCAGTTTAGATCTGTAGTTTATTTTGTATTATATAATAATCAAATGAATGCGCGCGCTCTGATTGGTCAATCAGCTATGGTTTCTTGTGCCAGTAAACTCATGGAAATTTCGCGTGTCTTCTGAATTATTATATAAAAGCAATAGACCACAAGTTTCTATGGTTTAGAGGCATGATAAACCACTCGGGATGTTGGCAGAACACTCGAAGAATTCGTAAATCACGAGCCGCAGGCTCGTGATTTACGAATTCTTCGAGTGTTCTTTCAGCATCCCACGTGGTTTATCAGCCTATAAACCTTAAAAACCTGTGGCCTATTGCTTAACGATTGGAGATATGCAGTTCATATACTTACGTCGTCGGTGGAAAATATGGAATTAACATGTATGCGTGCAGATACGATAGCAATTAAATTTTGGGTAGAGTGAATTAGAAAAGCAGTGCTTACATGACTGTATGGTAAATATGGAATTTATTTATTGGACTGCTTGGAGATACCCATGGTCTCAGAGATTTTCTTTCTTCTAGTTTTACTTAATATTATTTTTAAACGCACGAAGCGGAAGAAAAACTTTGGGGCAAGAGTAAAGTGGAGATAGATTCCCAAGAACCTGCTGACACGAAAATATGGTACAAACTACAAGTAGACGCAGCGAAAAGCAAAAAAACGCGAGCGAGCCTTTCCTCGCAAAGACTGGTCTCCACCTATGCCTTCCACAAAAACATCCATGTAAGAAAGAATGCTAGGAATTGGCAAATTCTTCTTCGTCACTGAAAAATAAGCCAGTGTCAACAGCTGAGTTTATAACTAATCCTACCTGACTATAAATTGAAATTCGGATCCTGCCAGCATTACAACACCAAGAAACGTGGAAATGGCGCCATCCACAATGGGTACAAACACTTGTTCAATAGCCCTCTGCATTCTTTGGTTCCTGTCTCCAGGGGCGTGTAAAAACGCCTAAAAGTGAAGAACAGATTAATTTTTATTATGTAAATGCTGATGTTATTTTAGGTAGTTACTGAGCTCTCCAAATGATTACAAAATGATCGTGCCAAGTGCTCTAAGCGATCAGAATAAGATTTTATCGACAAATTATGAGCAAAAACAAAACTGTCACTTGGCCTACGCGCATATTTTCCCATGCTTGACGCACGTTGCATGTTTTTCCCGCGCTAACCACTGGTTACCAGTTCTAATCGGTTCTACTTAGCTTACGACAGGGATTAGAAGACTGGCGCCAACCTGAAGCTGCTCAAATAAGTCATATAACGACCCGCAATAGCAACAGGAATTTTGATGTAATTCAAACCACCGGAGTAAATTCCAAATTGAATTAAAATACTACCAGATTTAAAACCTCAGCTACAACTGCACAGAAATATAATTGCGACGATTGCAGAAACCGTTTAATCAGAACAGCCTTCAATTTTAACTTGCCATACAAAAACATTCTTTGACTTAAGTTTTACGACAGTGTCTATTATGCTGAGATGACATACCATGCACATGTGTACAGTAAACTCCACACCGACTCCAACAGACAGAATGAGTGTAACTGCAGGTACGGCACTAAGTTTTATACCAGCCAGACCCATAAAGCCATACACTTCCACAGTGATCATTATCAGGACAAGAACAATAACAGAAGCTGCCCAGGGATTGAACAACATGGCCGCCATTACAACGAAGCTAACCGCCAATGAAATAGAAATCGCAATCAATATTCGCCTTCCAAGCCAGATGTACTGTTCCCAAAACGTGAAGGGTACACCACTAGGGTAGTTTGGTAATCCATCGTCTGAGTACTTGTCACAGATCTCTCTAACGTCCTGTTAGGATAAAGGTGATCATAGTGAGGGACTAGGGACCTGCGCGCAGGGAGTTGGGGGGAGGGGTTGGTTTTTGGGTTAGGGTTAGTTATACTACTAGATAAATTACGGGACGCTCTTTGGAAATTTCTCATTCAAAGAGGGACCTTTCCGTTTCAAGCTTGCTAGCAAAGACACTGTGACAAAATCAAATCCTACCAAAAGAGAATTCACTCACGCGGGAACGTTTGAACTGAGGAAAAATGGAGAAGGGAGGGGAGGGTAATTCACCCGGCGACCGCCCTTTCAGAATTTCCCTCTTCTATGTCAGCGTAAATTTATACATTTAATCACTCTGGTTTCAGAGAGATGAAGCATTTTAAATTAAAAAAAAAATCATTGCCTTAATATGTAGAAGTTTGTTTCTGGGTGGTTTCAATGGCTCGAAAGTAGCTTTAACTTACTTTAATCAGCGTCACAAAATCCTTGGTTTCCTTAAGGCCAATGACGTTGAAGTTGATCTTCGCAAATGTGATTGGTTTGGCAGCAGGCACTGAAATAAACAAGACGAGGCGAAACAGCGTAAGACCGCGTTTCATCTGGTGTATAATGTAAAGCACTAAACTTTTGAACTGAAATTGAGGATCACCTTTCATTGCTTCGTCATCTTGTTCGCTTCTGATGTTTGTCCAATCGACCGTCTCTGGTTTGATATCTGACTACAAGAAATAGACGAACATGACGTATAAGTAATCAATGGCACATGCAGGCCGGCTTAGCTTAGCTCAGTTGGTAGGACATCTTCTTCAAACGCAGAGGTCGTGAGTACAAATCACGGCCGGACCACAAACGGGGTGATAAAATAAACCTGGTTTACGCCAATTGGGTGTAAACAAACTTTTCTCAACTGTTAAAGAAGCTCACTCACGGTATTTTGAGTTGTTTTGGCCGTTTACAAAACTTCTTTTAAATTGAAGGTAACCTGAAAATAGTAGTTTTACTAAGATACAAAAACAACCAAGAGACTGTAATAAACCATAAAGAAACAAGGATGGTTAAGGATGGAGAAGATCAACAAGGATTACGAACGACGATCTTGAAAAATTTAGGCTAAACTTTTTTCAGATGCGCAAAAAATGACGTACCTCTTTTAAAAGCGTGTGCCTAGGCAGGCACGTTAAGCCAATCATTAGCTTTGCTCCCACTACTAGCTGCTATTGTAAGAGCATTGTTGAAAAAAGAGTGATAGGTAATTTCTTCGCGTTCATCCTGTATGGTTTTCTACGAGAGTCATGACAAGCACTTTTTTCAACTGAATATGTTTCTTTATTACATACTTGTGAAAACGCATATCCCAGCACGTCCCTGTCAATCCAAATTGTGAGAGCTTTGTAAAATATTTCAGGACGAATGATTCCAGCATCGTTGACCAGTTTATAGCTTCGAGCCTGAAAACAGCACATGTACATATGCATATCACTGGTCACTCAAATATTACTATCTGTTTTTAAAAATATCAAATCAAGTTTATCCAAGAGCGCAAGAAAAGGACAGGGGTGCTCGTCGGAAATTTTGAAAAGAACCCCTAGTAGGTACCAAGATCCTGTTTTGTAAGCGTGGCTTGAATTTTTTTTTTTTTCACCCCTGAGAGGTATCAATGCTAAAACAACACATTATCTCCTATCATATTTTTTCGCCTAAATACCCTAAAAGGTACCGCAAATTAAAAGCTCCCGCTGTGGACCTTTTGAGACTGAATACCCTAAGCGGTACCAAAACCGCCTTTTTAACCCCTAAAACGTACGAAGAGCACCCCCGTCCTTTTTATATAGGATTCCCCCCCCCGATCCTCGCCATTCTGATGACGTAGCTTTAATGACATGCGTAAAACGTCTTTGATTGGTCGTTGTTTCGTTTTCGCGCGCAAATGACATCCAATCAGAGAACTACACGTTTCTCTGAGAAGCTACGTCATCACTTTGGAATTTTTGGTTTCTGCAGCAAGTAAAACTTTGCAGCTGTGCTTACCCTTGATCTGTCAATCTTGTCAGAGCTGTCATTCTGAGAGAGTAATTTGTAGGCGATAACACCAGTGCTTGATGCGCTATCATTCCAGCCGGAATATGTAATATATTTCTTTGCCCAGTCCTGATTAAATGATGTTTGAGCATCTAAACAGCAACAAACATTGTTACATTGTTATGTTCTGTGATGTCCTACAAATGTTTAAAATTAAATATAAAGAGATAACTAAACTGACTACAATTACTACGAAATGGCAAAACAAAAGTTATTTGGTAAGCCTTTAACGCCTTGCCTTTTTTGTCGCCGTATACTTCTATCAAACAAACATTTTTCAAGACGTCTTAAGCAAAAGTTCTTTACTCATTAATTTCATACAACATCGCAGTTACAAGTTCCTCGGTGACACCCCGAATTCATCAGTCATTAATTCATTTCTTAAGGTATTACAAGATTCAAATTACTAACAAAAAGTCCTTTTCTTCGGCAATGGCAGACGGATAAGGCCCGGCCTTTCATAGGAAGGCCCCTTTCGACTGCGCGTTCGGGTTTGAACGAAAACCAGTGTTAACTACAATTTTTTGGACGAAGTTGATTCTTAACCCTTACCATTTAGCCATTCTCGAAAGTACATCAACCAAAATTCAGGAATTTCTTCTGAGTCAGGAATTCTGATTATATTTGGAATCTGTTGGCAAGGAAAGGAATAGAAAGTTGGTTTAGATTTATGATTTTAAACCGGTTACTCTCAGTCACACCAATTACTGTACGTTACTCGCTTGCCTGGAGCGAAGAAGAATTTCCCTGCCTTGACCACTTACTTAAGGCCCCGTGCACACTACGCCGGGAAAATTTTGAAAACGGAGGTTTCACTGTACGTGTGAAAAAAAAACGCATCAAATGTTTTCAGTTCACACTACGCCGTAGGAATTTGAAAACGCAACAATCATCGGCCATTTTGGATTTCTGGTTGAGGAAAACTCGGTCAGGGAAATCACGTGATTATCGTGACGTCATCGTTTACGAAAAGCTCCGTTTTCAAATTGTTTTCCGTGCACACTAAAACGCAAAGCCGGCGTTTTCAAATTCCTCCGGTTCAAAGAGCGTTTTCGAAAAGCTCCGTTTTCGTGACGGATTGGTGTGGACGGCAGGCCTAACCGTAGAAATAAAGCTGCGTTTTCAAATTTTTTCGGCGAACTGTGGACGGACCTTAGGTATTCCTATGGCAGACCATACTATTTCTCACCACTAACCTGTTTAAAGTCTTCATGGTAGGATAATAACTTTTCTTGCTGATAAGCGTAGTCAAATCCCTCTTGTGTAACAAGCGCCAATGGATAAAAGGAAAAATACTTGAATTGAGCGTCGACAAATCTGTGTGCCACGCTTTCGCTTGGTACAACATCTGTGAGCTCCAGACCGTCTTCAACTTGCAGCGCGCCGTAAATTCCAACGGCAAGGAGACTAAGGAAGAAAATTATCACAACAACCTGAAAAAGAGAAATACAATTTAGACTTAAGAAAAAATTATACCATTATAAGTCTTTGACGGAACGTTTCTACGTGAATAACAACGGGGACAGAATGATTACAATTCCCGCTTGCGAACGACGGGCACATTTTCCGGTGTGCGCCAAGTAGAATTTCATTACCGCATTCATACGACCACCTATACCAAACTTCATTTGGATAGATGAATATGCTGAAACAAGAGAAGGCCAAGGCACTTGCTTCGATCTCCTCGACTGAAATTAGAGGTCGTGAACCGTTTCATTGCAGACACCCAAGGAAGGCATGGTAGCTTCGTCCAGGCGTTTAGTTAGTTGGGGCGCAGCGCGAAAAGAAATTGGGACGGAGCGACAAGGCGAGAGAGGCGTTATGCGAGGAACGCCGCGCTTCTCCCCTTTTTTTAGCGCCATTCTTTGCGTCGCGCCCTAACTAACTGAACGGCTGAAAGAAGCTCGAGTCATAGTGAACATGCACCTTTTCTCATTGTCCCAACGACCTGACATACTGCTAACGCAGGGGAGGGGGGTAACCTGCAATACGCTACATCCCATCCAGGGAGAGTAGCAGTTCTCCTAGTCGCTTCATACCACAGAAATTGAAGTTTAGCACCGATCTCTCGAGCGGCCAAAACGTTTCAAATACTCCATCGTTTAACAATTGAAAAGTCACTGAACTCTGAAAAGGTTGATGACAAACGCTCACCTTTACTGGAGTTTTCTGCAGAAACGGCCCATAGTAAACCGTGGCAAAATGCTGAAGGGACAAAGGAGCACACATCGCCGGACAAGATCCGTTACCATTAAAATTCATTGAAGAATCAGTTCCATTCCCCGGTGCAGTCGAGGCATTAGAGCCAACATGATTTCTCGTCACGCTGGCTTCACTGCCATATGATGTCTTTGACTGTTTATCCACGTTACTAGCGTACTCGTTGACCAGCACTTCAGCGATGGACGAGTCAGACTTGTTCATCACGACGGTGTTGTTAGTTTGTGGCGGCGCGTGACTGTTCGAGAGGCCGTTTTTGGGTGGAACCTTTTGTCCGTGCGCTGTTGGTAACACGGTGCCTTCTGTTTGTGTTGATCTGCCAAGTTATTTTCAAAGTATAAGGATCGATTAATTGTGCTGCCGCAGTAGGCCAGTGAATGTCTTCATCTTAATCTTGAAGCAGAATTCTACAATCGCGCAGACGTTTTCTTGAAGTTGATAAAAGTAAACTAAACGCTGCCTATTAGCCCCAATCAAGTTCAAGTTGGTTTTCAAGTGTCTCGTACGTAATAAGAGGAGCTAAGAGGTCATGTTACGGATGAAACTGAACAAAGGCCTGAAATAGATTTTCAGTTGACTAAAACGCTTCGTCTGATCTCTCTAAACATTGCATGCATGTGTACTCGAAGGCTCGCACACCCAACGTCTCACACGCGCGATATACACTCTTCACGTTCAACGTTTCACGTATAACTATCAGAAAGTATAAACATTCAGTTTTAAATACTGGTGGTGACGTAATGACTATGACGTCATATCGCGGGCTTACGTGACGTCATAAGCCAACAAAAAGTCCGCCATCTTGGATTTTCAGATTTTTCCGCTACATTACAAAATCGACACATGCACAATTTTGAAATCTGCGCTGACCCTTTTTCAGCGCACTACTGGGCTTATTTATAAGAGGATAGACAATATGACGAACAGCGAACAGTATCTAACCCTTTAACACAGCAGATTATGTCGTATCTTTGATCTTGTCTTCTTCTCACGTCGATTGCAATCATGGCAGGAAAGATGATGATAACACCGATGAAATTGAAGATAACAACGACAGCAGCCTATCGAAGAAAAACAGTTCCCTTTATTGACAGCTGCCCGTCAAATGCAAGTATAAGGAACGAAGTTAACTTAAAATAGCAGTGAACTATGCTTCGGAATTTTATGACGTATATATCACTTAACAAGTAGTTTTTTTGGATCCGTGAGTAGCCCGTGTTCGATATATAAAAATTATAACATGACATTTGCTTTCTACCCAAAAGTACGACCTTTTTAAGATTCCTTTGTCTGGTTATTCCCATAAGAAACTTGATGCAAAGAAAATGAAATTTGGTAGGTAGCTTTGGTTCCATGACAGAATTTTGATATCTTGCTGGGTTTTAAGTTTTCGCGTGCAACAACAACCAATCAGACACGCGACACGGATCTCTGTAATGTTACGTAATCAATATGGAATTTTCGGGTCCAGTCTCACACGCTTCTAGAGTGGGGAAACGAATTAAGCGCATGAAAAGAAAAGTGTTTGCTAAATTATTATTTTTTTTAATCGTTACTCAAATTTGGCCATAGTACTGGAAACATAATATGTTCACACTTCAATCAGGGTTGTTACGTAAACGTGCATTCTCATTGTATTCACCTGTATAGCAAAATATCTCAGAGCTGGAATCGGAATCAGCGCAGCCATAAAGAACGCCAGCATGTTGTTGAATGACGTAAGGAACACACTGACCCCAGTGGTCCCCACACAGTAACCTACAGGCTCCTCCTGTTAAAACAACAGTACATAATTTGTGCGTAATTTATAATTTATACATACTGGTTAATTTTTACATAATTTAGAACTTAAACATAATTTATAACTTATAAGTTATGCATAATTTATGCAGATTAATTATACGCAGATAATTGGTCGTGGATTCGAATCCAAGAGCGTTGCTAAGTGACATGGTCTATCCAGATATTAATTACAGCGGTCAAACGCTCTCTGCATGAAAAGCTCCTGCTGAACGTTTTGGCGGGAAAATTGAAACATTTGGTAGTGACAGCCTACAGCAAATGTCTCATGTTTGTGAAGTCCTCCAGTTTCAGGCCAAAAAAAGACATTTTCTGAAAATTATCGCGTTTTACGCCCATTATGCACAGTGTAGATCATGGTCTCTTGGCACAGAGAATTAAATAACGGTTATGCACCAACTTTGGCTCGTCACTATGTGTTTTCGTCGCGCATGATTTCACAAATTTGGCAGTAGTAGTTTTGGCGGGAACGGACGAGCGTAAAACCTGCTATGAAGGGATACATGAAATTAAGAAAAGATTGCCAATTACAATACAATAAGAAAGATTACAAATGATATCATTTTACTATTTGATTCTGGCTTTCACTATACTCACCAAATGGCGAGTGTCTGCTCTTTGTGTTAAGGATGAATATGAGTGTGCGAGCAGAAACATATCATCTACGCCCAGGCCCAGAGCGAGGAATGGTAAAACCTGTAAAACAAGAAATTAGTATATTGATTTAGCCGAGATTAAAAGCAGAACTCCCACTGAACGCTAATCATTTACTCGACACGATAACCTTGAAAGAAATTCACCAATAAGCATTTCACTAAACCGAATGAATTGAACAAAACGAGGCATCGCAATAAACACAATTCGCAACTCGCCCCGTCCGAATGTCATATAGCAAATACTGGTCGCTTTTAAAACATAAAACTTTTAACGAAAGGTGGCCGAATTAAAGAAATATTAAGCAATCTTCGTTTAAGATTGATTATTATAATTTAAAGATAACGCCACGAAATGCATTTAGAAGCAAAAAGACGTCCAAAATTTCAACATACGGGTTCAAATTAATCACCTTTTAAAGCGATCTTGGTTTCCCAAAATCTTGTCAGTTCTCACCTGTGTTGAAGCTGCGTTAAATGTGATGCCGCAAAGCGCACTGAAACCTAGCCCGGCAGCCACCGAGAGAGTCACAAGTAGAACTCCAGCAAACCCCAGAGCACCATGGGAATTGATTGGATCACACCAGCGCTTCAGGGTAAGGCATGCGTAGACGAGCTGCAACAATAGGAAGCAAGTTAGAACACACTGAGTGATTACGCTAGAGGATGCCTGTATTGCACCTTAAGGGAGATATTGGTCAACTTACGGTAAAGTTTAGCTCTAATACAGAATTAGTATCAACTAACTAGTGGACTAATGCAAATCCTGCATTTTAATTGGCTACCCTACTAGAGGACTATTAGTAATAGTCCTCGAGTAGCGAAATTGGCGAAATCGAGCGTGACGCTTTCTTTCGTTTTATTCCCAAATAAATATTTCTTTAACTTGCATTTGCTAACATTATTATTTCCTTTTCTGTCCAACTAGTTGGGTGATACTAAAACAGTTAGATCTACCCTTCGCCCTCAAGAGCCACGGGTCAATAGCCCATTCGGCTTCGCCTCATTGGCTACTGACCCGAAGCCCTTGCGGGTTACGGGTCTAATTGTTAATTATTAACATGATTATAAAGGGAGAGTTTATACGCACAGTAACCGGAAAAAGCAACATGAGATTTGACAGCTAATTCGTTTTTTTCAGAGCAGTCTGAGTTGCTTTTGATTGTTTTCTGGTCGGTGTTGGTTTTAGATAAGTTACTGCAAAATTCTATAAAATGCTATTGATGGCTATAATCAAAGTCTATGACGTTTACAAGCCGATTACTCCATGGACTAGTCTCGATTCCAGGAAAAAAAGAGAGAAAGCCTGGGTTTGAGGTATTCTACTCGTTCACAGGATTCTCTCTTCCTCTTACAGTCGAAAGAGAAATATAAAGGACGCCAGGGGAAAACGATTGGGTCCGAAAGCATGCCCAGAACTAAGAATTCCCTATAAGCTGTCACTTGGATCGTCACGCGTGGCGTTGCGTTACTATTTTTATATAGTGTTTACCATAAGGATGTAACCAATAGCAATCCTTGTCACGCTTGTCTGTGAAAACTCTTGCAGTAAGTCCGTGACAGAGGCTGAGTCGAAAGCCAAGACATTGAACTCTTCTGTGTCTGTGACATCTTTGTTGATTTCCTGCGGGTTGAGAAAAAATTGAAGACACCATGCAAAGCGATTAAATTTATTTTTAAAAAACGGTTGTACTTCGTTAAAGGGTAACTGAAACATATACAGTTGATAATCAGCTAGCAATCGATAAAGGTAAACTCATCCGCCCTAGCGAATTTGGAAAACGGATGTCTCAGAACTAGACATTTTGTGTTTTTATTTGTTCTGTCCGTTTGTTTTTCCTTTGCTCTGACAAACGTCAGTGATGGTAAGCTTGTAATTTAACTCTCGATCAAAGATTAAAATGCAGAAACCATCATCACTCAGTTCAACCTCGATCCCAGCCTGAGGAAAAGGAGAGGGAGCCTGGGATCGAGGTTGCCCTCAGTGAGCGAGAACGAACTTCACGTAGTATACAGAATGAGTCCTCTGGTAGTTTTTTTTTCTTTACCTCTGTGAAGCTCCTTTGCCATGCCTCTAAAACTTGTTTGGCTGCATCCATGTTCCACTCGACATTCAAATCTTGGGATTTATCAGCCCATCGCTTGTACAAACCTTGCGGACCGGTTAAAACTAGAATTGTCTGCAAGGCTTTTGCACTGAGAGATAAAGAAATAATTCAATGTTAGTTGCTAGTTCCAAAGTACAGAGAAAGTGTTTAAAGTACGTTTTTGCTATGTTATAGTCGAAGGTAGTTGGAATTCTCTTTATACGCCAGAGAATGAACTGCGCCCGCCGCAGTCCTGAAACATATGTCTGAGACCACCTTGACCTAATAGTTTGGTAAAAAAAAAAACGGCTTTTTGTTTTGTTTCCAGAGCGGCTGGCCCTAGTACGGCAGAAAAACGCATCCCACGAGAATGGAGAAAGTTGACAACGTTACTTTTCAATAAAAGTTTGAACCCTTTCAGTCTGAAGTTGTATTACAATAATAATTCTTGGTACTGACTTTTGCCACGCCGTAAATTTGAATGTCAGAAGACCATTCTCAGAAGCTTCCATCTACTCGTAGTTCAAAGGCTTTTTTCTACTGGATTGACTAAGCTTTGAAAGCCTTGTTCTCTCACCTTTTCAACGTGTTATTGCTCTTCTCCGTTCCTCCGACTACCAGCTCTTCTGCCCATTGCATGAATTCTGTAGCGAATCCTCTGCACCCTCCAGTCAGCTCTTCCTTTACATTTGGCACCTGTGCGAAGAGGGAAGCATAAACGGGTTTGCAAAATGCATTTCATTGATTGAGGAAGAGGCTTGACAGCGATAAATGCCTGGTTGGGGTTGGGTTGGTGGTGGTGGTGGAGGNGGCTGGTTGTTGGATTGCAGCAGATAGGCGGCGGGAAGTTTCCTCGGGAAGAGGAAAAGGAGAATAGGAAGCTAGGAACCTGTAGTGAAGGGAGCCAGGACAACAGGAAGACACTGCGCAATGCCATGGAGTATTTTGCAATGGACAAAACAAAACAAAACAAAAAAACACAAACAGACCAGAGCCCTATTTGTGATTTCACACATACATACTAGTTATATGAAACGCTTTCGAGTGGTATACCATTCCATAAAAAATACAGTGGTCAACACAATCTCTGCGACAAACGTGCGGCCCATGACGGGAAGGTTGGATGTAATACTGTCGAACATACAACGGCTTTCCTGTATTATGATTGGCTGTATTTTCTATAGCATGATATAAAGCATGATCTTACCATATATGGTAATCCTCTTACCTTTCCTGTTTTCTTGTTCGGCGCTGTTGTCGGACAGTCCTGCTCTGACGGATCAAGACACGGTTTCTCTTGATAACCTTTGATTATACCAGCCTGTAAGGACGTAACACAATGAAAGGCTAATGGTTCAAGCGTGAATCTTGAAGGACCCTAGTCAACCTCTGCCATTTTCGATGCCATCGAAATTATTGATAATGTATGGTGAAGCGAATTCTTATTGTTTTACTGTAAGTTGTGTTCCTGAAGGTATGTTTAATTATCTTGAGTAGTTTCAAAGGGATTTACTTCGTTTCGACATGCTCCGAATAACATATAATAGCCAAATTCTTGCATGTAAACAAAAACAAGGGCGTGGCTGACCCTTTCGATGTTAATAATGAACCGAGTGTGTCAATCAGTGTTCACTTGCTTTCTAGACTGCTGGTAGTCGGTTTTTTCTCTTAGGGTCAGACGAGTGTTTATCTGTCAACAGGAACGCATAAGCGCGGTTTGGGCGTGAAGGGGTTGAGGCGAGTGCTCCACCCATGTCTCGCCCCAATCCCCTATCGTCTTAAAAGTCTCGTCTCATAATCCCCGCCTCATTTCGAGAGAACAACAGAATGCCAGTAGTTTTAGCTGTTTACTTGCTTTCGAACTCAGTAAGACAGTTCCTTTAGGAACTATCTAATTATATCTAAACCGACCCTAGCGCTTTTAAATATGCCTTGATCTTCGCCACGACGATCCGGGGGCGTGGCTTGAACTTATTTGCGGGCGTTTTGAGAATGAACATCCTAAGAGGTACGAAAACCGTTTTTTTAACGCCTAAAAGGTACGACGAGCACCAACGTCCCTTTTATATGGGCGTAAGATATATATGGGGCGTCCACCNCCCCCCCCCCTGTACGATCCCACAAAATCAAACAGCTATTTTCCAGATCACCAACCTTGAAAAACAAATCCTTGATTTCCTGTCTGCCTTCAATTTGAAATGCATCCAACAGACCCAGAAGAAAAGCGGGATCGCTCTTTGTCCATTCCAAGGGAAAGATTCTGACAAGAAAACAAGAAATGCGTTACAACGAATTCTATAATCCACAAGGAGAAAAATTCCAAAGGACACTTTGGACCAAAATAAAGAGGAACTTAAAAAAAAAAAACCAAAAAAAAACCAATTACAATTGCAATTACACGGTACGATAAGTAAGCCTTTCTACCTCTAAAAATCAAAAGCCAGTATTTACAAGCACTAAATCTATGATTCATATCAAACTGTAAAAGTCTTTGTCTGGTGTTATTTATGAACGCAAACTCAGACAAAGAGAAGTTTTCTAGTAAGTGTCGAAAGTGCTCCGTCTGGAATTGCTCTGGTTTTTGCTTTGCTGCGTTCTGTGATGGTTTAAAACTAAACCTCGCGCAACCAACTTAAACAATCCGATACAACGAAAACCAAAACTTGACTTGGTGAAGCGCCCGATACTTGTATTTGATTCGAGTTTTCATTGGTTCACTTGAGTTGTTTTCGTTGACTGTGATGGGCCATTGCAATTGATTCGGTATTGGTTTTTATGTCACCGAAATGAAAACCGGGCGAAATCGGCTAACGAGCCTTGAACTCGCAAAAATTCGCTTTATAGTCAAACCTAACTGGAAAAAATATTAACGAGAGCTTGCTAAATATTCAGAATACTTACTTAGCTTCGTCTGGTAGAGGAGCTCTTAGTTTAAGAACTTTCGCGCCATCCCAGAAACAATCCAAAGGAGATATTATGAGACATGGGATAATGGCTGAGACAATCTAAACGTTTGTCAAAAAAAGAAATAGTTAGTGAAAGCTAGATTGTCGAAGTCGGAACCAGAAGCGGAAGAATAAACCAATCACAATGTTTGATTCCGGGCCTTGTGATTGGTTGGTTCTTTCGCTTCTGCTTCCGACTCCGACAATCTAGATTTCACTAGATCATAGGCGACGGAGTCGTAAACAGAATTGGAAGAAATGGAAACGTACTGATTCTTCCGACTACGATTCCATCGAGCTTATGACTCCGCTTACGACTCGGATTTTCGATTTTTACCTGGTCATAAGCGCTCTTACGATTCTGACTACGACTCCGTCCCTAGTTAAAACCAGCATTTAATTATTAGGTACAGCAGATTTTTGATCTTCCGCCGAGTGCTAGAAACATGCCAGATATCAAAAATGTATGATAAAAAGCGTGAGAAGCAAAGAAAATCTTATTTCTTCGTTTTCTCTTTATTTTTAGTATCGATTGAGAAAATATATCAAACACGAAAAACCGTGTTTGACCACATTTCGAAAGACCTCGAAGTTCGTCAAAAATACTCGGTTACACGTCGTCTTTTCAACTCTTTTCTCGGTGTTTGGAAATGTGGTCAAACGTGGTCTCTCGTGTTTGATATATAACTTCAAAACGTGTCAACACAAAACTGTACGTCAATTGAGCAGAACAGATTTGTAGGATCAAACGTTTGATAGATTTTTCAATTTCACTGAAGGCTGGTAATAAAAAATTAAGATCTAGATACCAACTTTGCCTCCCCAGTTCCCCACTGGCCTATTCGCACCAGTCTTCGCTCCACTTACCCCATCCACTAGTGAGATATTGAACTTCGGTACCTCTGGAACATAACACAGGTCATTATGCGTCCAGGTCCTAGAGGAAAAGAAAAGCTTAGACATCGGTTGAAGAAGCTAATGTCACAATATTTCAAGTCATTTTTTTTTTCTGATGAGGAAATTAGTTAGTCCTTGCGGTTTAAAAATAGTAGTTTCCTTAGCTGTCGTGACATATTTGTGTGAACGGTAGACCTAACCGTAGAAATAAAGCTGCGTTTTCAAATTTCGCCGGCGTAGTGTGGACAGGGCGACTAAAACATCTTTCACGTGGGTAAACAAGAATTGAGAAGTGCTCTGCATGTCAAGTTAAGTTATTACACGATGAATGGAAAACTCACTTGCCAAAAATGTCCACCTTGACATCAATAGCAGCCTGCACTGCCTTCAAATGCCGCTGTAATGAATCTATCGACAAGATGTTGCTTTCTTGATCATTATTATTAACATAATCATCATTGGCAGCGTGGATTAATAGTTCATTAGTTGTTCCACTGCCTTCTCCGAGTGAATCCTTTGTGTATTGTAATTCTTTCTCTAGTCGTCCATCAACTATAACAAAACAAATCAAACACGATTAATCCCACAATACAAATTTACAGAAAAAAAAAGAGAGTGTAGTATTCTGAGAATACGGAAGGGGCAGGGGGGGCGCTTTGATGGCTACCTGCCTGTAGTTACCCCTCAGAGATAAATTTAACCCTATGACAGAGGCAAACTGCTCACAAAAATCAAACCTTTTGGAGCGGCACATAACTACCGTAAACTCCAAAGTAACCACCCTTGCTTCCGGTGATACTTTCGGAATTAGCAGCCTTTGGGGCTTGTTACTTTCGGGGAATAAAGTTGGTACGACTGAGCTCTTTTTACGAAATAAAACAGCTCTTTAAACATCAAATTAATTTTTTCGTTCCAGTTTAAATCTATGTTGCTGTCACATGGGTCGGCTCTTAATGTTTGACCAGTGTTGTCAGTGGTCGTACGAAAAGATAGTCAGATACAGTAAACTGTAAACTGAACTGCTACGTTGGTCTGCTTTAACAATTTGTTTGAAACGGTGTAACCTGAACTGATGAAACACGAATTGACATTTCCGCGCTTCGTGGCATAAGCGATACCTAGGAAAATAACATATATTTATTTGTACAGATTTGTATTGTCATTTAAAAGCCCTACCAGGGGAGTGCTATTAAGGGTATTGTATAATTGTATAATTATCCACTTATTAAATAACAAAACTCGCCGAATTAGGCTATCACTAAACTGTTTTGTTTGTATTGCCACTGAAAAGCCCCACCTTTAAAAAGGTGTAGTATACATGGTATAGGTTTTGTAAACCGACCAACAGTTACACGATTTCATCGCGATTTCAAGTCACGGTATTTTAAGTTATTTTTGCCTCGTACAAAATTACTTTTAAATTGAAGGAAACCTGAAAACAGTAGTTCACCAAGATAGAAAAACATCAAAGGGATAATAATAAACCTTAAAGGAACAAGGGTGGAGAAGATTAACACGGATTACAAACGACGAAATTAAAAATTTAGCCTTAACTTGTTTTTATGCTGATTCTTCGCAATTACAACAACTGCTTTCAATCTTTTAATCTGCATTTTTACATAAATCTTTCATCAGGCAGATATCCGCTCTCTGAAGCTTTCTCAAGGCATTTTCCGACACTCAGTTTTCTTTCTTTTCCAAGTTTTAACTTTACTTAAACGTTTTTTTTTTTTTTTCATTATGGCGGAAGGTAACAACCCTTGGGTGGATGAAAAATGAAAATAAAGAGGAAACGCCGTCCAATCAGACTTAAAAGCAGTAAAATCAGCTGCTAGAAGCAAAAACATTGATCACAGGTCCCCTGCGTGATGTATGAATGGCGTCAGATCACGCCACTCGAACAAGCTCATTTGTATGCACAAACGCGACTTCCGGTCCATCATGTTTACATCTACTACGTTTGAGTTCCCTCGACATTTTTTAAATAGCGAACTGTTCACCAAACTGGGAGTTATTTTGAAAATTAAACAGAGATAATGCCACTTAATGCCTTAAGTTTTCGTATAATGTTTAATTTCTAGCGCCGTTTCCATCTCCAAGCGTATTTTCGCTTGAATCGTGACCTCTGCCTGTAAACCCAGGGCGAGCCCATGGGCATTGCATGAACACGGCATACGATTACTGAAGCAAATCTAATGGTCGCCTGTAAAATTGAGTAAATTTTTAACGATCGCTCTGATTTAGACTGTTTAGGTCTGTTTCGTTGTGAACTGACGAAACTAAACTTAAAACTGATAACAAGAACTATGAAGCAGAATTAAGTTCTCGAAAAAACCGCGATGTCATGGTCGTAAATGTAAGCTTAGTCGTGTATACTGACTGACCCGCTGCGATTTTCGATAATGAAGTACGTTATAGAGTGGTAGAATTGGAGGCACTGGCAAGCTGCGATCTTGCTCTTGAAACCAAGGCCGATTCTCTTGCAAAAGAAAATTCTGATGTTAGTTTTAGCTAGCTTTCCGAGTCGGGTTGAATGCGATCATTTTACACCTACACTTAAAAATACAAACCTAGTGATATCACGTATGTTACAAGCAGGTTACAACTCACCTTCCATCCACAATTTTTCCACATCTGTTTCGATTGTTGCTGTTATGATCCCGACAGAAAGTCCGATCAGAACGAAGAAACCCGCAGCAAGAACTGCCCAACAGTTTCGCCGAGAAAAACGTCCCAACTTGAAGAAAATCGCTTGAAGCTTCGATCGTATTTTAATGGCAACTTGTTGACCCATTTTACTATATGTAGCCTTTTACGGACGATCTCGTGAAAAAAATTCAAATATTGCTAACATCAAGAATGCTACATTCTACTGTGAATACAGTGTGATCAAGCAGCATTTCCTAGTGGCCTGCTAGAGTCCTAGAAATGTGTTATTCACGCCGCATTTTATAAACACTGTCAAGCTCGTAAAATATCGTGCATGCAATCGAGGCTCACCGGAACAGCGGGAAAATGTAAATGAAGCCACCTTGTTTTTGTTGATGATCGCTAGTAACATAACAAACATGGGTTTCGTGATGACGTGAAACGTCAACAACTAAGCAAGCAGAAAATTTATTTTCGTTTGCAGCTTGCAAACAAAAGAATTGCTTAATATATTCTCCCCAAAATATGTTCATTTACTTGATAACTAGAACAGATTTGACCCTCTTTCTTTAGTAACATGTTCAGTTTTCGTCCGACACTCATCCTTCCTTCTCCAAAACTAGAGGTTTTATACCCCTCTAGGTTTAATTACAGAGAAAAATCACATGGTATAAACCGTTACAAAACAGCTTGACCCTATGTAATCGTGCAAAAATGTTTCGCGCAGCACTTCTCATGGCGTCCTGGCTACAAAGATGAGATATAGCCTGGTTCCACCGAAGTGACAGCGTGACAGCGGGAAATACGTTTGCGTTCGCAGATTAGAAACGCTTGTATGATTTTCATGTGCATGACGGTTCGTCTTTGAAATTGTGTTCTCAATAATTAGCTTTTCTCTAGAATCCACGAGAAGAACGCAAAAACTGAGCGAACGAGCACGATGCGGCGAAGACGCGAGTCGCAAGTAGCTTGATCGTCGGAGAACTGGCAAAAACTAAGACACCGCGATACTCGCCGCAGCTTCGCCGTTCGCCCCTCGAATATCGTGCTTGTTCGCTCACTTGTTTGTGATCTTCACGCAGATTTCTAAGTAGTAGAGAGAGATTCCTCCCAGTCTATGCGTCCATTTGCTTTGCGCACAGGATTTTTATTTTTATTTTCCTCGTGGATTTTATTTTTTAGTTCCAAACTACAAAGCATTCGCCGCACTTGTGTGTGGTCGAAGTGTTAATGGCTCGTCGAGAGGGCCAGTTGATTAATTAGATAATTAATTCATAATTGAAATACATGGTATAAGTTTGTCTCCTTCTGTACGCCAAAACTTGATAACCGAAGTCGCGCGCGTGCAGGAAGCCGGAATCAACTCTTGACATTTATGGGAGGCTTCCGCTGACCCTCCCGCTTGTCTGAGAGGATTAGCGTCAAACAAAGGCTTCTACAATGGGCAATTTTTTGAGCCCACCGGTTTTGGATTTTTGTTCAATTTCTCAAGGAATTAGCCTTTCTTAGGTTCCACGGGCAACTTGTTCCCAACACCAGTTGTTTCGTTCTACTGAGACAAACATTTCTTGGAAGTATACATGAAGTCCAATACCCCAGGTTTTTTTTTTATCAGTGGTGATCGAAATTAGAGCTGGTCAGCTTAAAAATAAAATCACGTTAGCAGCCGCCCACTGAAGGGTACCCGAGTTGCTAGCCGCCTACGTGAGCCTTCCGACGTACATTATGCAGTTCTATTGCCTCGTTCCTTTTGCCCCGCATCGTCAGTATTGAATCTCTATTAGGGAGTGGGGGTGGGGATCTAAATATCCCTTATCCCGTTAATATCCCGTATCCCGTAAATTTCAATTTCACAAACTAACAATTTTCCTACTCGATATCCCGAAAAATCTGTTCCAAATACCCCTTATCCCGTTATTTGTTTGCCACTAATAGGGCGTCAGTATTCTATTCTAGTAGCAGCGATGAGCTCCTCAAGTACTTATTATTCCTCATGCCGTCGCAAAGAGCGAAGCCTAACTAGTGCTTCGCCGTGCTTGAATAAAAATTTGAGGGACTGAGGTCATGGATATCGAGGTATGCAATATCGCACAAAACGATGTCTTTTAAACGTAACTTTATTCATTAAATATCCGGTAGGGTTTATCAGTAACAATAATTTAATATTTGCTCGTTGGTCCCTGATTTAGTATTCTTGACCAACGACTAAACGACGAACGGGTATCATCTTGTGTACATGTATCGGATAGAGTTGTCGGCAGTCCTAATCAATCAACTTGAACGCTAGCCTCAGTAAACACAACTCTCTCTTACCAAGCTCAATTCTTTCCCATGCGAGACTGGAACCGAAAAATTCCATTAAGATGACGTAGCACTACAAAGAACCGCACAGCACATCTGATTGGTGAGTGCTGGGTTTTGAATTTTCGCGCGCAATTTAAAACCAATCAGAGATGCTGCACGGATCACCTTCACACGACGGAATTTTTCCGGTTTAATCTCTGTCCCTCGAGGGAGGGGAATTGAGCCCGTGAAGAGAAATGCCCGTTTTCCCAGGCTACTTGATTACGATATGGGATAAATAAATAACTTACAGACTACTGCCTCGGAAAAATATGATACAACTGATAGGGCGATTGATAAGTCTTCGGGTAATATGAACCGTTATCATGCAAATTACAACTAACCTTATTTTAAAAACTATCCACTAATCCGGTCAACAACTCTGTCATAAAGTAAATCTTAAAAATTAAGATTATATGCAACGGAATTGGAGCTTTGTATGACTGAAAACGAACAGCACGAAAGAAGGATAGCTACCCCCCTAGACTAGACCCATTTGTTGTCTGTTTTCAGTTAACATGTTCAGTGATTTTTTCCTCCTGCACGGGGGGAGGGGGGGGGGGGGAGGCGAGGGCAGGGGAAGCGGGCAGACAGACAGCCCAAAAACATTGCAGACCCAAGCCGAACTGTTAAATGCACACCGCAGACTATTCCAATCTTCATTCTAAATATGCTAAACAAAACTTTAGATCGAGCCTTAATTACCCTCATAAGGTACTTCGATTAACAGTGAAACACCAGCACGAACAAAACAAACACTGAGTCTTGCAGCAACTGAAAATTTTCTGATTCTCACACAGCACGAAACTTCCGAGCTGTCAAACATGACGTCATAAGATACGCCATGTTGCTTAGCAACCCCGCTCTTGAAAATGGCAGGCTCAGTTCTCTCGGCGAATCGCTATTATTGGATCATTAAAAGACCTCATTCCACGAACCCTTTGCTATAGAGCCAAACTCTTTAACCGTTTCACTCCCAACATCAACCTTGTACAGCAAAACAAACAGCACTGCCAAAAATAATACATCTCACTCGAATACCCACACACTGGCGTTTCATCCAAAGGGTGGAAAATTCAACATGAAAGTACTGCTCAATAGCTTTCATTTGAATGGTCACACACTAGGGTTTCATCTACACACTCAAAACTTAAACCCAAACTGTACCCCTAGTTGGCTTTCGTTTCATTGATTACACTCTAGTTTCGTCTAAAGACGAAGAAGGCAGAACCTCACTCAAAGACTCGAGCATTTCAGTACTTTGGGAGTGAAACAGTTAAAATACGAGCTCGTGCTTAAGTGAATTAACAACTGACGAATATCATCAAAGTAGCCAATTAACAGGGCGCTATTTCCCCCAACATCTAATCGAAAAGTAGCTTGAGCAGCGACCAAGACCGCTTCTTTTCTACTTTCCTACTATAAATAGAGTGATAAAACCCCTTACCTAATAACTCTACACTGGTTTACTGTGTTACGTAACATGGGCCAAGCCGGCTGGTAACTGGATAATTACATCGAACTTTGTACACTGATATAAATAATTCGAATATTCCTCGTATTCGATTCTAAATTAGAATGGAGATGCACAACGTCAAACCAGACTGTTGTCGTCCGTAAACAGTTTAGAAGTACTGTATCCAGTAAAATCCGGTTTTACTGGGTTTTTTTTCCTGTACAAAAGTAACACCTCATGAATAACTGAGCGTTTTCCCATTACTTTTCTCCGTCCTTGATAGTAACCATGTTACTAACTCGCGAGGAAACACGCAGGTTACTCATGTCACGCGCGCTCTGCGCCCTCGCGCGCACGTCTCGCGCGTACCTCTACTTGACCTTTAGGCGTCATTTTCCACTGGATGACTGTCAGGAAACAGTCGACGTTTCACTGTCCTATCTTCTTATGCCATCGCACTCCAAATTCGTGACGTGCAAATCCTCCTCGTCTATCTCCCCTTGGTTATGAATCGGCCCAACTTGTGCTCCACCTCGGAAATTCTGATACGCCGCTCTTTCGGTGGAGACTTGTTCGGTATGCACTTCGACCGTGACCGTAGCACGAGCCGTTACCCGAGTCACGGTCGAACTTGACGAATCCGAATCGACCGGGGGAGACCTGCTTCGATTTGCACGTCTGTTACTCCGGCTGTTACTCTTGTGAGGACCCCTCTTATGGCGAGTACGTCTCCTCCCGGAACCAGATGACCTTTCCTCTTCTCTGGCGATTCTCTCCAGGATACAAACCTCGGAATCCGCAGGAGGGGTTCTCTGTCTACAAGTAGAGCTGGGAAACAATTCTCTGTTTGACCCGGCAGAAGAGGCTGTTCCTGGAGGAAGCATTTCTTCAACCTTTAAAACAAAACAGAGAACAAAACGAAGTTGTTTGACTGTCTTGCGTTATTGACGTTATATCCCAGCCGTAGAAAATCAGCATTTCCAGATTTAAGGTATTGACGAGACAAACAAAAATAATAACAGTATTCTTTGCGTCTGGGGACAAAATGACGACTGTAAAATTAACGAGAAGCTATGTCTTCAGTTTCATTCATCCGCTCGTAAGAACGAGTTATGGTTCACTGGAAAATTGAAGGGAAACCTACCTCGGGTCCAGGCCCAGCGAGAGACAACAGCACTGGCAAAAACACAAGACCATTTACAGTTCCAATCACAATCAGTGCAGCCAGCAGATGAAAGAAATACCTGTAATAAGTAAATCAGTAAATGACGTTCCGTTAGTAAAGCCTATTGTTAGTTGAAAATTTTCGGACTTTCTGGAAGCTTTCCTAGGAAATTTGCCTACTTCCAAAGTTGCCCGCTCCGGTCCCTAAATTTTTGCCGGGAAAAGCGGGTCCTTAGCTTCGTGAAGCATGATGGGAGTTAAAGCCTAGTTACCAATTTTCCGCCATTTTTGAAAGCGTAAAGCGAAAAAGCTGCAAGTTCTTGTTTTTATTGCATAAGTTTTTTCACGATTCTTTTCTCTAATAACCGTACCTGACGATAAAATCGAAGTCTGACCCCGCAAGCATAATGACACCGAGTAAGGTCGACATGGCACCGTCCACAACGGGAGAAAACACATGTTCGACAGCTCTCTGCATTCGCTGATTTCTGTCATTTTTTTTTTTTTCATTATGGCGGAAGGTAACAACCCTTGGGTGGATGAAAAATGAAAATAAAGAGGAAACGCCGTCCAATCAGACTTAAAAGCAGTAAAATCAGCTGCTAGAAGCAAAAACATTGATCACAGGTCCCCTGCGTGATGTATGAATGGCGTCAGATCACGCCACTCGAACAAGCTCATTTGTATGCACAAACGCGACTTCCGGTCCATCATGTTTACATCTACTACGTTTGAGTTCCCTCGACATTTTTTAAATAGCGAACTGTTCACCAAACTGGGAGTTATTTTGAAAATTAAACAGAGATAATGCCACTTAATGCCTTAAGTTTTCGTATAATGTTTAATTTCTAGCGCCGTTTCCATCTCCAAGCGTATTTTCGCTTGAATCGTGACCTCTGCCTGTAAACCCAGGGCGAGCCCATGGGCATTGCATGAACACGGCATACGATTACTGAAGCAAATCTAATGGTCGCCTGTAAAATTGAGTAAATTTTTAACGATCGCTCTGATTTAGACTGTTTAGGTCTGTTTCGTTGTGAACTGACGAAACTAAACTTAAAACTGATAACAAGAACTATGAAGCAGAATTAAGTTCTCGAAAAAACCGCGATGTCATGGTCGTAAATGTAAGCTTAGTCGTGTATACTGACTGACCCGCTGCGATTTTCGATAATGAAGTACGTTATAGAGTGGTAGAATTGGAGGCACTGGCAAGCTGCGATCTTGCTCTTGAAACCAAGGCCGATTCTCTTGCAAAAGAAAATTCTGATGTTAGTTTTAGCTAGCTTTCCGAGTCGGGTTGAATGCGATCATTTTACACCTACACTTAAAAATACAAACCTAGTGATATCACGTATGTTACAAGCAGGTTACAACTCACCTTCCATCCACAATTTTTCCACATCTGTTTCGATTGTTGCTGTTATGATCCCGACAGAAAGTCCGATCAGAACGAAGAAACCCGCAGCAAGAACTGCCCAACAGTTTCGCCGAGAAAAACGTCCCAACTTGAAGAAAATCGCTTGAAGCTTCGATCGTATTTTAATGGCAACTTGTTGACCCATTTTACTATATGTAGCCTTTTACGGACGATCTCGTGAAAAAAATTCAAATATTGCTAACATCAAGAATGCTACATTCTACTGTGAATACAGTGTGATCAAGCAGCATTTCCTAGTGGCCTGCTAGAGTCCTAGAAATGTGTTATTCACGCCGCATTTTATAAACACTGTCAAGCTCGTAAAATATCGTGCATGCAATCGAGGCTCACCGGAACAGCGGGAAAATGTAAATGAAGCCACCTTGTTTTTGTTGATGATCGCTAGTAACATAACAAACATGGGTTTCGTGATGACGTGAAACGTCAACAACTAAGCAAGCAGAAAATTTATTTTCGTTTGCAGCTTGCAAACAAAAGAATTGCTTAATATATTCTCCCCAAAATATGTTCATTTACTTGATAACTAGAACAGATTTGACCCTCTTTCTTTAGTAACATGTTCAGTTTTCGTCCGACACTCATCCTTCCTTCTCCAAAACTAGAGGTTTTATACCCCTCTAGGTTTAATTACAGAGAAAAATCACATGGTATAAACCGTTACAAAACAGCTTGACCCTATGTAATCGTGCAAAAATGTTTCGCGCAGCACTTCTCATGGCGTCCTGGCTACAAAGATGAGATATAGCCTGGTTCCACCGAAGTGACAGCGTGACAGCGGGAAATACGTTTGCGTTCGCAGATTAGAAACGCTTGTATGATTTTCATGTGCATGACGGTTCGTCTTTGAAATTGTGTTCTCAATAATTAGCTTTTCTCTAGAATCCACGAGAAGAACGCAAAAACTGAGCGAACGAGCACGATGCGGCGAAGACGCGAGTCGCAAGTAGCTTGATCGTCGGAGAACTGGCAAAAACTAAGACACCGCGATACTCGCCGCAGCTTCGCCGTTCGCCCCTCGAATATCGTGCTTGTTCGCTCACTTGTTTGTGATCTTCACGCAGATTTCTAAGTAGTAGAGAGAGATTCCTCCCAGTCTATGCGTCCATTTGCTTTGCGCACAGGATTTTTATTTTTATTTTCCTCGTGGATTTTATTTTTTAGTTCCAAACTACAAAGCATTCGCCGCACTTGTGTGTGGTCGAAGTGTTAATGGCTCGTCGAGAGGGCCAGTTGATTAATTAGATAATTAATTCATAATTGAAATACATGGTATAAGTTTGTCTCCTTCTGTACGCCAAAACTTGATAACCGAAGTCGCGCGCGTGCAGGAAGCCGGAATCAACTCTTGACATTTATGGGAGGCTTCCGCTGACCCTCCCGCTTGTCTGAGAGGATTAGCGTCAAACAAAGGCTTCTACAATGGGCAATTTTTTGAGCCCACCGGTTTTGGATTTTTGTTCAATTTCTCAAGGAATTAGCCTTTCTTAGGTTCCACGGGCAACTTGTTCCCAACACCAGTTGTTTCGTTCTACTGAGACAAACATTTCTTGGAAGTATACATGAAGTCCAATACCCCAGGTTTTTTTTTTATCAGTGGTGATCGAAATTAGAGCTGGTCAGCTTAAAAATAAAATCACGTTAGCAGCCGCCCACTGAAGGGTACCCGAGTTGCTAGCCGCCTACGTGAGCCTTCCGACGTACATTATGCAGTTCTATTGCCTCGTTCCTTTTGCCCCGCATCGTCAGTATTGAATCTCTATTAGGGAGTGGGGGTGGGGATCTAAATATCCCTTATCCCGTTAATATCCCGTATCCCGTAAATTTCAATTTCACAAACTAACAATTTTCCTACTCGATATCCCGAAAAATCTGTTCCAAATACCCCTTATCCCGTTATTTGTTTGCCACTAATAGGGCGTCAGTATTCTATTCTAGTAGCAGCGATGAGCTCCTCAAGTACTTATTATTCCTCATGCCGTCGCAAAGAGCGAAGCCTAACTAGTGCTTCGCCGTGCTTGAATAAAAATTTGAGGGACTGAGGTCATGGATATCGAGGTATGCAATATCGCACAAAACGATGTCTTTTAAACGTAACTTTATTCATTAAATATCCGGTAGGGTTTATCAGTAACAATAATTTAATATTTGCTCGTTGGTCCCTGATTTAGTATTCTTGACCAACGACTAAACGACGAACGGGTATCATCTTGTGTACATGTATCGGATAGAGTTGTCGGCAGTCCTAATCAATCAACTTGAACGCTAGCCTCAGTAAACACAACTCTCTCTTACCAAGCTCAATTCTTTCCCATGCGAGACTGGAACCGAAAAATTCCATTAAGATGACGTAGCACTACAAAGAACCGCACAGCACATCTGATTGGTGAGTGCTGGGTTTTGAATTTTCGCGCGCAATTTAAAACCAATCAGAGATGCTGCACGGATCACCTTCACACGACGGAATTTTTCCGGTTTAATCTCTGTCCCTCGAGGGAGGGGAATTGAGCCCGTGAAGAGAAATGCCCGTTTTCCCAGGCTACTTGATTACGATATGGGATAAATAAATAACTTACAGACTACTGCCTCGGAAAAATATGATACAACTGATAGGGCGATTGATAAGTCTTCGGGTAATATGAACCGTTATCATGCAAATTACAACTAACCTTATTTTAAAAACTATCCACTAATCCGGTCAACAACTCTGTCATAAAGTAAATCTTAAAAATTAAGATTATATGCAACGGAATTGGAGCTTTGTATGACTGAAAACGAACAGCACGAAAGAAGGATAGCTACCCCCCTAGACTAGACCCATTTGTTGTCTGTTTTCAGTTAACATGTTCAGTGATTTTTTCCTCCTGCACGGGGGGAGGGGGGGGGGGGGAGGCGAGGGCAGGGGAAGCGGGCAGACAGACAGCCCAAAAACATTGCAGACCCAAGCCGAACTGTTAAATGCACACCGCAGACTATTCCAATCTTCATTCTAAATATGCTAAACAAAACTTTAGATCGAGCCTTAATTACCCTCATAAGGTACTTCGATTAACAGTGAAACACCAGCACGAACAAAACAAACACTGAGTCTTGCAGCAACTGAAAATTTTCTGATTCTCACACAGCACGAAACTTCCGAGCTGTCAAACATGACGTCATAAGATACGCCATGTTGCTTAGCAACCCCGCTCTTGAAAATGGCAGGCTCAGTTCTCTCGGCGAATCGCTATTATTGGATCATTAAAAGACCTCATTCCACGAACCCTTTGCTATAGAGCCAAACTCTTTAACCGTTTCACTCCCAACATCAACCTTGTACAGCAAAACAAACAGCACTGCCAAAAATAATACATCTCACTCGAATACCCACACACTGGCGTTTCATCCAAAGGGTGGAAAATTCAACATGAAAGTACTGCTCAATAGCTTTCATTTGAATGGTCACACACTAGGGTTTCATCTACACACTCAAAACTTAAACCCAAACTGTACCCCTAGTTGGCTTTCGTTTCATTGATTACACTCTAGTTTCGTCTAAAGACGAAGAAGGCAGAACCTCACTCAAAGACTCGAGCATTTCAGTACTTTGGGAGTGAAACAGTTAAAATACGAGCTCGTGCTTAAGTGAATTAACAACTGACGAATATCATCAAAGTAGCCAATTAACAGGGCGCTATTTCCCCCAACATCTAATCGAAAAGTAGCTTGAGCAGCGACCAAGACCGCTTCTTTTCTACTTTCCTACTATAAATAGAGTGATAAAACCCCTTACCTAATAACTCTACACTGGTTTACTGTGTTACGTAACATGGGCCAAGCCGGCTGGTAACTGGATAATTACATCGAACTTTGTACACTGATATAAATAATTCGAATATTCCTCGTATTCGATTCTAAATTAGAATGGAGATGCACAACGTCAAACCAGACTGTTGTCGTCCGTAAACAGTTTAGAAGTACTGTATCCAGTAAAATCCGGTTTTACTGGGTTTTTTTTCCTGTACAAAAGTAACACCTCATGAATAACTGAGCGTTTTCCCATTACTTTTCTCCGTCCTTGATAGTAACCATGTTACTAACTCGCGAGGAAACACGCAGGTTACTCATGTCACGCGCGCTCTGCGCCCTCGCGCGCACGTCTCGCGCGTACCTCTACTTGACCTTTAGGCGTCATTTTCCACTGGATGACTGTCAGGAAACAGTCGACGTTTCACTGTCCTATCTTCTTATGCCATCGCACTCCAAATTCGTGACGTGCAAATCCTCCTCGTCTATCTCCCCTTGGTTATGAATCGGCCCAACTTGTGCTCCACCTCGGAAATTCTGATACGCCGCTCTTTCGGTGGAGACTTGTTCGGTATGCACTTCGACCGTGACCGTAGCACGAGCCGTTACCCGAGTCACGGTCGAACTTGACGAATCCGAATCGACCGGGGGAGACCTGCTTCGATTTGCACGTCTGTTACTCCGGCTGTTACTCTTGTGAGGACCCCTCTTATGGCGAGTACGTCTCCTCCCGGAACCAGATGACCTTTCCTCTTCTCTGGCGATTCTCTCCAGGATACAAACCTCGGAATCCGCAGGAGGGGTTCTCTGTCTACAAGTAGAGCTGGGAAACAATTCTCTGTTTGACCCGGCAGAAGAGGCTGTTCCTGGAGGAAGCATTTCTTCAACCTTTAAAACAAAACAGAGAACAAAACGAAGTTGTTTGACTGTCTTGCGTTATTGACGTTATATCCCAGCCGTAGAAAATCAGCATTTCCAGATTTAAGGTATTGACGAGACAAACAAAAATAATAACAGTATTCTTTGCGTCTGGGGACAAAATGACGACTGTAAAATTAACGAGAAGCTATGTCTTCAGTTTCATTCATCCGCTCGTAAGAACGAGTTATGGTTCACTGGAAAATTGAAGGGAAACCTACCTCGGGTCCAGGCCCAGCGAGAGACAACAGCACTGGCAAAAACACAAGACCATTTACAGTTCCAATCACAATCAGTGCAGCCAGCAGATGAAAGAAATACCTGTAATAAGTAAATCAGTAAATGACGTTCCGTTAGTAAAGCCTATTGTTAGTTGAAAATTTTCGGACTTTCTGGAAGCTTTCCTAGGAAATTTGCCTACTTCCAAAGTTGCCCGCTCCGGTCCCTAAATTTTTGCCGGGAAAAGCGGGTCCTTAGCTTCGTGAAGCATGATGGGAGTTAAAGCCTAGTTACCAATTTTCCGCCATTTTTGAAAGCGTAAAGCGAAAAAGCTGCAAGTTCTTGTTTTTATTGCATAAGTTTTTTCACGATTCTTTTCTCTAATAACCGTACCTGACGATAAAATCGAAGTCTGACCCCGCAAGCATAATGACACCGAGTAAGGTCGACATGGCACCGTCCACAACGGGAGAAAACACATGTTCGACAGCTCTCTGCATTCGCTGATTTCTGTCGCCTGCACTCGTCAAAAATTGCTGAAAGAAAAAGGAGAGAAAATGCAAACAGGTAAGTTAAAAGAAAAGAATATGGAACGAAAGCAAACTATTTAGGATCACGACTGTGTTTACACGTTCAACCATAAATCCACCAACTGTTTAACTGAACTAAAAAATACTGTGAAACATTTTGACAGTTTGACAGCTGACAGTTGAACTTGAAAGCTAGCATAAATTAAAATTTTATCCGTCTGTACTCTAATTGATGATAAAAATGAGCCAATCAGCGCGCGAGAAATTAGACAGTTATTGTAAAATTAACAAATGGTAAACGCCATAGCGTGCACCATTGAGTTATGGATGCACGCGGGAGGTTGCTAAGCACGAAAGAAGCGTAAGAGTCGCACTCGGCTATCGCCTCCTGCGACTCTAGCTTCCTGAGTGCTTAGCAAACCTCCCAAGTGCATCCATAACTCAATAGTGCAATTTTTTTTTTTTTCATTATGGCGGAAGGTAACAACCCTTGGGTGGATGAAAAATGAAAATAAAGAGGAAACGCCGTCCAATCAGACTTAAAAGCAGTAAAATCAGCTGCTAGAAGCAAAAACATTGATCACAGGTCCCCTGCGTGATGTATGAATGGCGTCAGATCACGCCACTCGAACAAGCTCATTTGTATGCACAAACGCGACTTCCGGTCCATCATGTTTACATCTACTACGTTTGAGTTCCCTCGACATTTTTTAAATAGCGAACTGTTCACCAAACTGGGAGTTATTTTGAAAATTAAACAGAGATAATGCCACTTAATGCCTTAAGTTTTCGTATAATGTTTAATTTCTAGCGCCGTTTCCATCTCCAAGCGTATTTTCGCTTGAATCGTGACCTCTGCCTGTAAACCCAGGGCGAGCCCATGGGCATTGCATGAACACGGCATACGATTACTGAAGCAAATCTAATGGTCGCCTGTAAAATTGAGTAAATTTTTAACGATCGCTCTGATTTAGACTGTTTAGGTCTGTTTCGTTGTGAACTGACGAAACTAAACTTAAAACTGATAACAAGAACTATGAAGCAGAATTAAGTTCTCGAAAAAACCGCGATGTCATGGTCGTAAATGTAAGCTTAGTCGTGTATACTGACTGACCCGCTGCGATTTTCGATAATGAAGTACGTTATAGAGTGGTAGAATTGGAGGCACTGGCAAGCTGCGATCTTGCTCTTGAAACCAAGGCCGATTCTCTTGCAAAAGAAAATTCTGATGTTAGTTTTAGCTAGCTTTCCGAGTCGGGTTGAATGCGATCATTTTACACCTACACTTAAAAATACAAACCTAGTGATATCACGTATGTTACAAGCAGGTTACAACTCACCTTCCATCCACAATTTTTCCACATCTGTTTCGATTGTTGCTGTTATGATCCCGACAGAAAGTCCGATCAGAACGAAGAAACCCGCAGCAAGAACTGCCCAACAGTTTCGCCGAGAAAAACGTCCCAACTTGAAGAAAATCGCTTGAAGCTTCGATCGTATTTTAATGGCAACTTGTTGACCCATTTTACTATATGTAGCCTTTTACGGACGATCTCGTGAAAAAAATTCAAATATTGCTAACATCAAGAATGCTACATTCTACTGTGAATACAGTGTGATCAAGCAGCATTTCCTAGTGGCCTGCTAGAGTCCTAGAAATGTGTTATTCACGCCGCATTTTATAAACACTGTCAAGCTCGTAAAATATCGTGCATGCAATCGAGGCTCACCGGAACAGCGGGAAAATGTAAATGAAGCCACCTTGTTTTTGTTGATGATCGCTAGTAACATAACAAACATGGGTTTCGTGATGACGTGAAACGTCAACAACTAAGCAAGCAGAAAATTTATTTTCGTTTGCAGCTTGCAAACAAAAGAATTGCTTAATATATTCTCCCCAAAATATGTTCATTTACTTGATAACTAGAACAGATTTGACCCTCTTTCTTTAGTAACATGTTCAGTTTTCGTCCGACACTCATCCTTCCTTCTCCAAAACTAGAGGTTTTATACCCCTCTAGGTTTAATTACAGAGAAAAATCACATGGTATAAACCGTTACAAAACAGCTTGACCCTATGTAATCGTGCAAAAATGTTTCGCGCAGCACTTCTCATGGCGTCCTGGCTACAAAGATGAGATATAGCCTGGTTCCACCGAAGTGACAGCGTGACAGCGGGAAATACGTTTGCGTTCGCAGATTAGAAACGCTTGTATGATTTTCATGTGCATGACGGTTCGTCTTTGAAATTGTGTTCTCAATAATTAGCTTTTCTCTAGAATCCACGAGAAGAACGCAAAAACTGAGCGAACGAGCACGATGCGGCGAAGACGCGAGTCGCAAGTAGCTTGATCGTCGGAGAACTGGCAAAAACTAAGACACCGCGATACTCGCCGCAGCTTCGCCGTTCGCCCCTCGAATATCGTGCTTGTTCGCTCACTTGTTTGTGATCTTCACGCAGATTTCTAAGTAGTAGAGAGAGATTCCTCCCAGTCTATGCGTCCATTTGCTTTGCGCACAGGATTTTTATTTTTATTTTCCTCGTGGATTTTATTTTTTAGTTCCAAACTACAAAGCATTCGCCGCACTTGTGTGTGGTCGAAGTGTTAATGGCTCGTCGAGAGGGCCAGTTGATTAATTAGATAATTAATTCATAATTGAAATACATGGTATAAGTTTGTCTCCTTCTGTACGCCAAAACTTGATAACCGAAGTCGCGCGCGTGCAGGAAGCCGGAATCAACTCTTGACATTTATGGGAGGCTTCCGCTGACCCTCCCGCTTGTCTGAGAGGATTAGCGTCAAACAAAGGCTTCTACAATGGGCAATTTTTTGAGCCCACCGGTTTTGGATTTTTGTTCAATTTCTCAAGGAATTAGCCTTTCTTAGGTTCCACGGGCAACTTGTTCCCAACACCAGTTGTTTCGTTCTACTGAGACAAACATTTCTTGGAAGTATACATGAAGTCCAATACCCCAGGTTTTTTTTTTATCAGTGGTGATCGAAATTAGAGCTGGTCAGCTTAAAAATAAAATCACGTTAGCAGCCGCCCACTGAAGGGTACCCGAGTTGCTAGCCGCCTACGTGAGCCTTCCGACGTACATTATGCAGTTCTATTGCCTCGTTCCTTTTGCCCCGCATCGTCAGTATTGAATCTCTATTAGGGAGTGGGGGTGGGGATCTAAATATCCCTTATCCCGTTAATATCCCGTATCCCGTAAATTTCAATTTCACAAACTAACAATTTTCCTACTCGATATCCCGAAAAATCTGTTCCAAATACCCCTTATCCCGTTATTTGTTTGCCACTAATAGGGCGTCAGTATTCTATTCTAGTAGCAGCGATGAGCTCCTCAAGTACTTATTATTCCTCATGCCGTCGCAAAGAGCGAAGCCTAACTAGTGCTTCGCCGTGCTTGAATAAAAATTTGAGGGACTGAGGTCATGGATATCGAGGTATGCAATATCGCACAAAACGATGTCTTTTAAACGTAACTTTATTCATTAAATATCCGGTAGGGTTTATCAGTAACAATAATTTAATATTTGCTCGTTGGTCCCTGATTTAGTATTCTTGACCAACGACTAAACGACGAACGGGTATCATCTTGTGTACATGTATCGGATAGAGTTGTCGGCAGTCCTAATCAATCAACTTGAACGCTAGCCTCAGTAAACACAACTCTCTCTTACCAAGCTCAATTCTTTCCCATGCGAGACTGGAACCGAAAAATTCCATTAAGATGACGTAGCACTACAAAGAACCGCACAGCACATCTGATTGGTGAGTGCTGGGTTTTGAATTTTCGCGCGCAATTTAAAACCAATCAGAGATGCTGCACGGATCACCTTCACACGACGGAATTTTTCCGGTTTAATCTCTGTCCCTCGAGGGAGGGGAATTGAGCCCGTGAAGAGAAATGCCCGTTTTCCCAGGCTACTTGATTACGATATGGGATAAATAAATAACTTACAGACTACTGCCTCGGAAAAATATGATACAACTGATAGGGCGATTGATAAGTCTTCGGGTAATATGAACCGTTATCATGCAAATTACAACTAACCTTATTTTAAAAACTATCCACTAATCCGGTCAACAACTCTGTCATAAAGTAAATCTTAAAAATTAAGATTATATGCAACGGAATTGGAGCTTTGTATGACTGAAAACGAACAGCACGAAAGAAGGATAGCTACCCCCCTAGACTAGACCCATTTGTTGTCTGTTTTCAGTTAACATGTTCAGTGATTTTTTCCTCCTGCACGGGGGGAGGGGGGGGGGGGGAGGCGAGGGCAGGGGAAGCGGGCAGACAGACAGCCCAAAAACATTGCAGACCCAAGCCGAACTGTTAAATGCACACCGCAGACTATTCCAATCTTCATTCTAAATATGCTAAACAAAACTTTAGATCGAGCCTTAATTACCCTCATAAGGTACTTCGATTAACAGTGAAACACCAGCACGAACAAAACAAACACTGAGTCTTGCAGCAACTGAAAATTTTCTGATTCTCACACAGCACGAAACTTCCGAGCTGTCAAACATGACGTCATAAGATACGCCATGTTGCTTAGCAACCCCGCTCTTGAAAATGGCAGGCTCAGTTCTCTCGGCGAATCGCTATTATTGGATCATTAAAAGACCTCATTCCACGAACCCTTTGCTATAGAGCCAAACTCTTTAACCGTTTCACTCCCAACATCAACCTTGTACAGCAAAACAAACAGCACTGCCAAAAATAATACATCTCACTCGAATACCCACACACTGGCGTTTCATCCAAAGGGTGGAAAATTCAACATGAAAGTACTGCTCAATAGCTTTCATTTGAATGGTCACACACTAGGGTTTCATCTACACACTCAAAACTTAAACCCAAACTGTACCCCTAGTTGGCTTTCGTTTCATTGATTACACTCTAGTTTCGTCTAAAGACGAAGAAGGCAGAACCTCACTCAAAGACTCGAGCATTTCAGTACTTTGGGAGTGAAACAGTTAAAATACGAGCTCGTGCTTAAGTGAATTAACAACTGACGAATATCATCAAAGTAGCCAATTAACAGGGCGCTATTTCCCCCAACATCTAATCGAAAAGTAGCTTGAGCAGCGACCAAGACCGCTTCTTTTCTACTTTCCTACTATAAATAGAGTGATAAAACCCCTTACCTAATAACTCTACACTGGTTTACTGTGTTACGTAACATGGGCCAAGCCGGCTGGTAACTGGATAATTACATCGAACTTTGTACACTGATATAAATAATTCGAATATTCCTCGTATTCGATTCTAAATTAGAATGGAGATGCACAACGTCAAACCAGACTGTTGTCGTCCGTAAACAGTTTAGAAGTACTGTATCCAGTAAAATCCGGTTTTACTGGGTTTTTTTTCCTGTACAAAAGTAACACCTCATGAATAACTGAGCGTTTTCCCATTACTTTTCTCCGTCCTTGATAGTAACCATGTTACTAACTCGCGAGGAAACACGCAGGTTACTCATGTCACGCGCGCTCTGCGCCCTCGCGCGCACGTCTCGCGCGTACCTCTACTTGACCTTTAGGCGTCATTTTCCACTGGATGACTGTCAGGAAACAGTCGACGTTTCACTGTCCTATCTTCTTATGCCATCGCACTCCAAATTCGTGACGTGCAAATCCTCCTCGTCTATCTCCCCTTGGTTATGAATCGGCCCAACTTGTGCTCCACCTCGGAAATTCTGATACGCCGCTCTTTCGGTGGAGACTTGTTCGGTATGCACTTCGACCGTGACCGTAGCACGAGCCGTTACCCGAGTCACGGTCGAACTTGACGAATCCGAATCGACCGGGGGAGACCTGCTTCGATTTGCACGTCTGTTACTCCGGCTGTTACTCTTGTGAGGACCCCTCTTATGGCGAGTACGTCTCCTCCCGGAACCAGATGACCTTTCCTCTTCTCTGGCGATTCTCTCCAGGATACAAACCTCGGAATCCGCAGGAGGGGTTCTCTGTCTACAAGTAGAGCTGGGAAACAATTCTCTGTTTGACCCGGCAGAAGAGGCTGTTCCTGGAGGAAGCATTTCTTCAACCTTTAAAACAAAACAGAGAACAAAACGAAGTTGTTTGACTGTCTTGCGTTATTGACGTTATATCCCAGCCGTAGAAAATCAGCATTTCCAGATTTAAGGTATTGACGAGACAAACAAAAATAATAACAGTATTCTTTGCGTCTGGGGACAAAATGACGACTGTAAAATTAACGAGAAGCTATGTCTTCAGTTTCATTCATCCGCTCGTAAGAACGAGTTATGGTTCACTGGAAAATTGAAGGGAAACCTACCTCGGGTCCAGGCCCAGCGAGAGACAACAGCACTGGCAAAAACACAAGACCATTTACAGTTCCAATCACAATCAGTGCAGCCAGCAGATGAAAGAAATACCTGTAATAAGTAAATCAGTAAATGACGTTCCGTTAGTAAAGCCTATTGTTAGTTGAAAATTTTCGGACTTTCTGGAAGCTTTCCTAGGAAATTTGCCTACTTCCAAAGTTGCCCGCTCCGGTCCCTAAATTTTTGCCGGGAAAAGCGGGTCCTTAGCTTCGTGAAGCATGATGGGAGTTAAAGCCTAGTTACCAATTTTCCGCCATTTTTGAAAGCGTAAAGCGAAAAAGCTGCAAGTTCTTGTTTTTATTGCATAAGTTTTTTCACGATTCTTTTCTCTAATAACCGTACCTGACGATAAAATCGAAGTCTGACCCCGCAAGCATAATGACACCGAGTAAGGTCGACATGGCACCGTCCACAACGGGAGAAAACACATGTTCGACAGCTCTCTGCATTCGCTGATTTCTGTCCCCTGCACTCGTCAAAAATTGCTGAAAGAAAAAGGAGAGAAAATGTAAACAGGTAAGTTAAAAGAAAAGAATATAGAACGAAAACAAACTATTTAGGATCACGATTGTGTTTACACGTTCAACTATAAATCCACCAACTGTTTAACTGAACTAAAAAATACTGTGAAACACTTTGACAGTTTGACAGCTCAAAGTTGAACTTGAAAGCTAGCATAAATTAAAATTTTATCCGTTTGTACTCTTACTGATGATAAAAATGAGCCAATCAGCGCGCGAGAAATTAGACAGTTATTGTAAAATAAGCTTTTGACTGACAGACAGACACACAAACAGACAACCTTTATTTAAGCACGATTAAAATTAAAGCTCAATAACTGATGGGGTTGTGCAAAAACATGATAAAACTAAAATTTTCAATTAAAATTCATCTATCCTATATACATGATAGTTGGACATTTTCAGCGGACCTAACACTTTGATTTTTAAATTCCTCGCAAACAATATGGATTTATAATGCATATGCACACAACCTGATTGCCAATGAATTAATGTTCTTAATATTTTTATTCCAAGGGTAAGGCCCTTGTTCTCACGTTTCACTTCAAGAAAAATTAATCTTAACATATCCATGTACAACATACCATACACATGTGTACAGTGAATTCCACACCAACTCCAACAGACAGAATGAGTGTAACTGCAGGCACGGCACTAAGTTTTATACCAGCCAGACCCATAAAGCCATACACTTCCACTGTTATCATTACCAGGACAATAACCTATGCGATCAAAAAAACAAACATCTCATTCATGATCACTCTACTTATAACTTTACAATTTTTCAGTTTCACAGAAAAATTCTCTGAGCCCAGAAATACACTTAGCCACCTTAACACTTGTTGAAAAGAGAAAACTTCTGAAACAATAACTACAACTTCGAGAAACCTTTCCATATTTTTTCATTGGAAATAGCTTACTTGTATTTTTATCAGTGCTAGAAAGAAGCAAGTTCATCTATTCAAAGTACATGAGTCACATGAATTACAATAATTAAAACATCATTTTGAGAAACGATAGTACTATTTTAAATTTCGTTATGTTACACACTTACTATCAACATCGCTGCCCAGAAATTGCAAAGAATAACAGCCATGACCACAAAACTTGCTGACAGCACAATCGCGACAGCAACCAAGAGATGTTCCCCCAACCAAATGTACTGTTCCCAAAATATAAATGGGATACCACTTGGGTAATTAGGCAGGCCAGCCGCTGAAAACTCTTCACATATGGTGCGGACACTCTGCAAACAACAAAGCAAAATTTTAATTCCGCTTGACAACCTAGGCTCCTTGATTATCAGTTGCCATTCTGATTTGGGAGACAAGTGGGAATCAAATATGCAGCAACTTACCTGTCACACCTACATGTACAATGTAGCATTACAAAACTTATAACTATTTTGAAGTGAAGCCTCCAATATAAAGACATTGCTGATAAGTTGCACTAAATGTGTCTTGCAGCTAATTGAGTTTTCCAGTACCTGTCAGCACCTTCCATTTCAGTAAACCCCCTTTCTGTTATTTGCCTACATGCTATGTAACTTGGCAAAAAAAATTATTATTTTTACTACATAAATAATTGTTAATACCTTGATTGTTTCAACAAAGTCCTTTGTAGTCCTAAGGTTGATCAGGTTAAATGGAATATAAGTGAAGTTTGAAGGCGGTGCTGGTGGCTCAACTGTTTTGAAAGGAAAAAGAAAACACAAGTTATCAGTAAACTTAACTACGGCACATCTAAACCAGTGACAACACAGAATTTATTTCAGTTTATGTACATGCTGTGGTTCAAATTTGGCCTGGGTTTTACCAAGAACGAATTTAATCACAACATACCTCGCATGGCGTTGTATTCTTGGTGTCTTCTTGTGTTAAACCATGATTCCTCTGGTTCTGGCTTGATGTTTGCCTGTGTTAAATGAATTAAGAGCAGAACTCTATTACACAAAGGTTTACAAACATTGTCACTGGTCTGAACAGTGAGGGAGGCCCATGCTACAATGTAGCTTTTGCCAAATTAATCTCTCACTTTTATACTTTTTTTTCACTGCTTTCCCTACGTAAGAGAAATGGCCTTAAAAAACCTTCAAATTGAAGATACACATTTAGGTTTATCAAGATCCATGTAGCTGTCATATTGGCAGTTACCCGGTAAACACGATAGTCAATAGAAGCACCAAGTAACAACTGATCGCACACTCAATGCATCTCTTCCAAGCTAGGATCTCTTTCAAGCTATGTTGATCAATGTAACATTTTTAGGAATAATCTTGCATTTATCTGCAGAGAAGAAAAGTTGAGCATGTAACACAAGATGTTTACTTGTGGCACACATCATGATATAATTTGAGTTCACAAACCTGCGACATGGCATATCCCATAAAGTCCACATTGAACCAAACCATCAAATACTTGTAAAAGGTCTCTGGGCGGATAATTCCTTCATCATCAACCAACCTTACACTACGAACCTGTTGATTGACAAGGAGTAAACTAATTGAGTCTCGTAGTTTTTATTACTCCCGTGCCACACAGTTCTGAAAGTAATGAGGGTCCTTATTTACTAAGCCATCTTTTTCTATGGCTACTTTAGGGAAGTAATCACTTCCCAAAGTTCATGGTAGAATAAATTTGCAAAACAGGGCGTTCTGGCATGAAGGAAGATAGTTAAACCTCCTCAAAACACTAAACTCACTTTAACAATAAGCCAAGTGTAAGTCCGAAATCTAGTCAGCTGGCATGACTGAGATGTCAAATGTTGCCAGCTGCTGGCTGGCAACAGCAGCTACTCTCCTGAACTATTCACTAGATTCTTTAAAAAATTTAGAGGCGGCAAAATCAACTGCCTAATCCAGCCATAGTGCCACCTACAGTTTCACAACTTTGTGAAAACCCTACTTAGACCTTAGCCTTAAGTGAAAAATGCAACCTTTCAGTACAATTTAGTTTTCAAACCATACTATGGATCTGTTGATTGTCTCTTTTTCTCCAGTCTGTGCTAACAGCTTGTAGGCCATCACACCATTATCAGATGCATTTTTCTGCCACCCATCATATGAAATTCTCCCCTCAGCCCAGTCTCTGTCAAATGCCTTTTGCAGCTCTGAAACAATAAGCATTACTTTTACACAATGTTACAGTTACTGTAATAGATTCAATCAACCATTACACTCCCAACTCTGAAAATTCTCATTACACTGAATAGCTCTACCAGTCCACATGTTTTTTTTTTTACCCTGTCACTGGTACATGTGTTTCTAATTTTATCAACATGGTGGTTTTGTTCCAAATATTTTGCTCACTCTACCAAAGACTGATTACTTGCATACATGTATATGTCAGATACATGTATAACAAACCAGAGATATACATAATGTGGACGATATCATTGGATACCTTTAACCAGTTCTCTAGGTGAAAAGTGCTTTCCAACCCTCCACATGCAGACTGTACGACAATACATTTTATGCCTGAGTATATGATGCAATTAATGCACATCTGTAACATACCTATAAGCCAGTCCCTGAAATACATCAACCAGAAAGGTGGCAATTCCCCCTCAGGTGTTTTGATTATGTTGGGAATCTGCAAGTTAGATTAGAATCAAGCTTAAAACAAGTTACAAGTTCACTTTACTTCAGTTACACAGCACACAAGAGATGAGGTGCTCATACAGTTTCTGGACTGGACTTCAGTGTCATTCTGGTGTGTTCTTGGGCAATGCACTTCGCACTGGGTACACAGAATTGTTACTTTAACAATAACTTGGGTGAGGGCAATCAGTGAAGGTACAGATGTCTCACTAATGGGAGGTTAATAAATACCTTGCAGTATTTCACACTTCAGAGTGAAGCACCTACTAGGTTTCTATTAGAAGAAATGAGTCTGTACTGTTAAAGGGAATCTGTATGTTGAGATCAGGGCTTTACCTTCTTGAATGTATCATGAAACTTGTACAAGAGCTCCTGTCCATTAGGATAGTCATAGCCTCCTTTGGTCACGACAGCCATCGGGTAAAAAGAGAAGTATTTTGATTGTGCTTTGACAAACTCGTGTTCTGGACTTGTTCGTGGGACTACATCAGTTAGGTCCAAACCTTCTTCCACTTTCATACAGCCATAGACACCAGCAGCAAACAGACATGCAAACATGAATAAGACTGAAATCTGAAAGAAAAAGAAAAAACAACAATTAAGTGAAATAAATTACATCTTGAGTACATGTAGTTCTGGAATTGCCACTGTGTTAAACATATTTTCAGTGACAGAAAGGATAAGCAGCCCACATGTATTCTAAGCAGTTCATATCTGTTACACCCTTACCGCACTAACCTAATATAGCATGTGCTTTGAATTCAATATTATACATGTATCTACAGTAAACAGTAAAGATCCTGCTATTTTCCATTGTAGCTCAGGATATCATTTTCTACTCTGACTAGCAGTAAATAACATCAAGCTATAATTGAAAAGGATTTTGCTTTTAAATCCAGATTAATCAGTGACCAACGATATTTAACAACCCTTGCCTGATGAATAATTTGAATATCAAATTTAGCAGTCATATTTGTCACCTTGACTGGCATTTTTTGCAACCACGGACCATAGTAATGTCTTGCAAAGTATGACAGCGAGAGGAATCGTAGCTTCTTCTTCAGTGAACTCCACCGACTATTACACTCGCAGTCCGAGTCTTGCATGCTTTGTGATGTAGAAACCCCACTCATTGAGTCCAGGCCTGGCGATGATCTCGAGTGTGAACTTGACGATCTCAAGGAGGAACGTTCAGCCATGGCCACGGCAGAAGTTTCTCCATTTGACGCAGCATTAGCTGATACATGAAATTGCACATTTCTTGGGGGTTGCGTTCGCATGTTGCTTTCCCCTCTGGGAGATAAAACTACAGCATTTTCATTGATGACTGTATCCCTTGCATGGCTCTTGTACGCATATCTTTTACTTCTTTGCTCAGGGATGCCTTCTGAGCAAGTACAATGACTGTAGTCACTCCCACTTTGTTCAGGGAAAATTTTTAATGATCTACTTGTTCCTTGACTTTGATAAGGAGGTCTTGAGTAACAGTCTCGGCTGCTTCGCTGCTCTCTGTCTACTGACCCAGCAAACTGAACTTGCACAACGTTCGCTGAAGCTCCTGCCCTAGCTTTTGTAGTTCCCATTCCATTGTTACTGCAGATGTTACCCATCGCCGCTAGTTCAATGTCACCTGATTCCGCCATTTTCCTGGAACTCATCCTTTTGAAACGTGGCCACTCTGTCATTGGGGTGGCTCCCAGCTCTGCTGACGCAGACGCCTGGACTCTCACCATACTCGGCAAATGTATTGTCTGTGAAGCTGCTGCCTGGACACTTCCGGGGAGAATAACAGTGCCACTGAGACCCTGAAGAACAGGGGTTTCAGACAGAGAGTTGCAAGAACGTTGGTATCGGTAGTGTAGAAGACCACTGTCATTTACCGATGTGCTTGGTGTAATCGAAATGCTGTGAGGTTCAGAACTCCTGCAAGAGAAAAACCAACAGTTAAAATACTTGAAAGGAAGTTTCACATTTATTACCCTGCTACTAATGAAAGGGCATGTACATTTTTTTGACTGCACTAACAGGATACCAAAACAAAACCATCACTTGTGGAAAATAAATTGCTGCTTCTAAGAGATCAATGAAACGTTAATTCATCACTGAAGTTGTAAAGGAGCATGGTTTACTAACAGTTTCAGATCAGTCAAATTTCAGCGAACACACACTAACCTTTCACAACAGCAAAGAAGGTCATATTTGCCACTTCTCCTTCTGTTTTTGTCAATTACAATCATTGCAGGGAAGATCACAATTACAGCAAGAAAATTGAACACAACAACAATAGCTGCCTGCAAAGAAGAAAACAACAATATTGAATACAAAAAAAATAGGTATTGTAGGTCTCAGAATCTTTGATCTAAGAGTAATTTCATGCCTCAAAAGAGGACATTTTTGTGAAATCTTGAGCATGTACTCAGTTTGTCACTAGTCTGTCTACGGACCCTCCATTTTGTCTTGAGTTTGTTGATATCACAAGCATAGTGAAACATTAACCCAGCACATGGGATACATGCCCTAGGCAGTGGGGCTGGGAAAAGATTTTGCGCCCACTTCTCGACTGTTCTCCCCCTCTGTGCTCGCACGCCAAGAAAAATAACTCATAGCAAAAGATAAACATCTTCTGTGGATAGACTAATGTCACAAGTTATGGGCCAGAAAAAATGTTCATCAAAAAAATCACCAGGAAATCAGATGCAAAAACATGATAAAACTAAAATTTTCAATTAAAATTCATCTATCCTATATACATGATAGTTGGACATTTTCAGCGGACCTAACACTTTGATTTTTAAATTCCTCGCAAACAATATGGATTTATAATGCATATGCACACAACCTGATTGCCAATGAATTAATGTTCTTAATATTTTTATTCCAAGGGTAAGGCCCTTGTTCTCACGTTTCACTTCAAGAAAAATTAATCTTAACATATCCATGTACAACATACCATACACATGTGTACAGTGAATTCCACACCAACTCCAACAGACAGAATGAGTGTAACTGCAGGCACGGCACTAAGTTTTATACCAGCCAGACCCATAAAGCCATACACTTCCACTGTTATCATTACCAGGACAATAACCTATGCGATCAAAAAAACAAACATCTCATTCATGATCACTCTACTTATAACTTTACAATTTTTCAGTTTCACAGAAAAATTCTCTGAGCCCAGAAATACACTTAGCCACCTTAACACTTGTTGAAAAGAGAAAACTTCTGAAACAATAACTACAACTTCGAGAAACCTTTCCATATTTTTTCATTGGAAATAGCTTACTTGTATTTTTATCAGTGCTAGAAAGAAGCAAGTTCATCTATTCAAAGTACATGAGTCACATGAATTACAATAATTAAAACATCATTTTGAGAAACGATAGTACTATTTTAAATTTCGTTATGTTACACACTTACTATCAACATCGCTGCCCAGAAATTGCAAAGAATAACAGCCATGACCACAAAACTTGCTGACAGCACAATCGCGACAGCAACCAAGAGATGTTCCCCCAACCAAATGTACTGTTCCCAAAATATAAATGGGATACCACTTGGGTAATTAGGCAGGCCAGCCGCTGAAAACTCTTCACATATGGTGCGGACACTCTGCAAACAACAAAGCAAAATTTTAATTCCGCTTGACAACCTAGGCTCCTTGATTATCAGTTGCCATTCTGATTTGGGAGACAAGTGGGAATCAAATATGCAGCAACTTACCTGTCACACCTACATGTACAATGTAGCATTACAAAACTTATAACTATTTTGAAGTGAAGCCTCCAATATAAAGACATTGCTGATAAGTTGCACTAAATGTGTCTTGCAGCTAATTGAGTTTTCCAGTACCTGTCAGCACCTTCCATTTCAGTAAACCCCCTTTCTGTTATTTGCCTACATGCTATGTAACTTGGCAAAAAAAATTATTATTTTTACTACATAAATAATTGTTAATACCTTGATTGTTTCAACAAAGTCCTTTGTAGTCCTAAGGTTGATCAGGTTAAATGGAATATAAGTGAAGTTTGAAGGCGGTGCTGGTGGCTCAACTGTTTTGAAAGGAAAAAGAAAACACAAGTTATCAGTAAACTTAACTACGGCACATCTAAACCAGTGACAACACAGAATTTATTTCAGTTTATGTACATGCTGTGGTTCAAATTTGGCCTGGGTTTTACCAAGAACGAATTTAATCACAACATACCTCGCATGGCGTTGTATTCTTGGTGTCTTCTTGTGTTAAACCATGATTCCTCTGGTTCTGGCTTGATGTTTGCCTGTGTTAAATGAATTAAGAGCAGAACTCTATTACACAAAGGTTTACAAACATTGTCACTGGTCTGAACAGTGAGGGAGGCCCATGCTACAATGTAGCTTTTGCCAAATTAATCTCTCACTTTTATACTTTTTTTTCACTGCTTTCCCTACGTAAGAGAAATGGCCTTAAAAAACCTTCAAATTGAAGATACACATTTAGGTTTATCAAGATCCATGTAGCTGTCATATTGGCAGTTACCCGGTAAACACGATAGTCAATAGAAGCACCAAGTAACAACTGATCGCACACTCAATGCATCTCTTCCAAGCTAGGATCTCTTTCAAGCTATGTTGATCAATGTAACATTTTTAGGAATAATCTTGCATTTATCTGCAGAGAAGAAAAGTTGAGCATGTAACACAAGATGTTTACTTGTGGCACACATCATGATATAATTTGAGTTCACAAACCTGCGACATGGCATATCCCATAAAGTCCACATTGAACCAAACCATCAAATACTTGTAAAAGGTCTCTGGGCGGATAATTCCTTCATCATCAACCAACCTTACACTACGAACCTGTTGATTGACAAGGAGTAAACTAATTGAGTCTCGTAGTTTTTATTACTCCCGTGCCACACAGTTCTGAAAGTAATGAGGGTCCTTATTTACTAAGCCATCTTTTTCTATGGCTACTTTAGGGAAGTAATCACTTCCCAAAGTTCATGGTAGAATAAATTTGCAAAACAGGGCGTTCTGGCATGAAGGAAGATAGTTAAACCTCCTCAAAACACTAAACTCACTTTAACAATAAGCCAAGTGTAAGTCCGAAATCTAGTCAGCTGGCATGACTGAGATGTCAAATGTTGCCAGCTGCTGGCTGGCAACAGCAGCTACTCTCCTGAACTATTCACTAGATTCTTTAAAAAATTTAGAGGCGGCAAAATCAACTGCCTAATCCAGCCATAGTGCCACCTACAGTTTCACAACTTTGTGAAAACCCTACTTAGACCTTAGCCTTAAGTGAAAAATGCAACCTTTCAGTACAATTTAGTTTTCAAACCATACTATGGATCTGTTGATTGTCTCTTTTTCTCCAGTCTGTGCTAACAGCTTGTAGGCCATCACACCATTATCAGATGCATTTTTCTGCCACCCATCATATGAAATTCTCCCCTCAGCCCAGTCTCTGTCAAATGCCTTTTGCAGCTCTGAAACAATAAGCATTACTTTTACACAATGTTACAGTTACTGTAATAGATTCAATCAACCATTACACTCCCAACTCTGAAAATTCTCATTACACTGAATAGCTCTACCAGTCCACATGTTTTTTTTTTTACCCTGTCACTGGTACATGTGTTTCTAATTTTATCAACATGGTGGTTTTGTTCCAAATATTTTGCTCACTCTACCAAAGACTGATTACTTGCATACATGTATATGTCAGATACATGTATAACAAACCAGAGATATACATAATGTGGACGATATCATTGGATACCTTTAACCAGTTCTCTAGGTGAAAAGTGCTTTCCAACCCTCCACATGCAGACTGTACGACAATACATTTTATGCCTGAGTATATGATGCAATTAATGCACATCTGTAACATACCTATAAGCCAGTCCCTGAAATACATCAACCAGAAAGGTGGCAATTCCCCCTCAGGTGTTTTGATTATGTTGGGAATCTGCAAGTTAGATTAGAATCAAGCTTAAAACAAGTTACAAGTTCACTTTACTTCAGTTACACAGCACACAAGAGATGAGGTGCTCATACAGTTTCTGGACTGGACTTCAGTGTCATTCTGGTGTGTTCTTGGGCAATGCACTTCGCACTGGGTACACAGAATTGTTACTTTAACAATAACTTGGGTGAGGGCAATCAGTGAAGGTACAGATGTCTCACTAATGGGAGGTTAATAAATACCTTGCAGTATTTCACACTTCAGAGTGAAGCACCTACTAGGTTTCTATTAGAAGAAATGAGTCTGTACTGTTAAAGGGAATCTGTATGTTGAGATCAGGGCTTTACCTTCTTGAATGTATCATGAAACTTGTACAAGAGCTCCTGTCCATTAGGATAGTCATAGCCTCCTTTGGTCACGACAGCCATCGGGTAAAAAGAGAAGTATTTTGATTGTGCTTTGACAAACTCGTGTTCTGGACTTGTTCGTGGGACTACATCAGTTAGGTCCAAACCTTCTTCCACTTTCATACAGCCATAGACACCAGCAGCAAACAGACATGCAAACATGAATAAGACTGAAATCTGAAAGAAAAAGAAAAAACAACAATTAAGTGAAATAAATTACATCTTGAGTACATGTAGTTCTGGAATTGCCACTGTGTTAAACATATTTTCAGTGACAGAAAGGATAAGCAGCCCACATGTATTCTAAGCAGTTCATATCTGTTACACCCTTACCGCACTAACCTAATATAGCATGTGCTTTGAATTCAATATTATACATGTATCTACAGTAAACAGTAAAGATCCTGCTATTTTCCATTGTAGCTCAGGATATCATTTTCTACTCTGACTAGCAGTAAATAACATCAAGCTATAATTGAAAAGGATTTTGCTTTTAAATCCAGATTAATCAGTGACCAACGATATTTAACAACCCTTGCCTGATGAATAATTTGAATATCAAATTTAGCAGTCATATTTGTCACCTTGACTGGCATTTTTTGCAACCACGGACCATAGTAATGTCTTGCAAAGTATGACAGCGAGAGGAATCGTAGCTTCTTCTTCAGTGAACTCCACCGACTATTACACTCGCAGTCCGAGTCTTGCATGCTTTGTGATGTAGAAACCCCACTCATTGAGTCCAGGCCTGGCGATGATCTCGAGTGTGAACTTGACGATCTCAAGGAGGAACGTTCAGCCATGGCCACGGCAGAAGTTTCTCCATTTGACGCAGCATTAGCTGATACATGAAATTGCACATTTCTTGGGGGTTGCGTTCGCATGTTGCTTTCCCCTCTGGGAGATAAAACTACAGCATTTTCATTGATGACTGTATCCCTTGCATGGCTCTTGTACGCATATCTTTTACTTCTTTGCTCAGGGATGCCTTCTGAGCAAGTACAATGACTGTAGTCACTCCCACTTTGTTCAGGGAAAATTTTTAATGATCTACTTGTTCCTTGACTTTGATAAGGAGGTCTTGAGTAACAGTCTCGGCTGCTTCGCTGCTCTCTGTCTACTGACCCAGCAAACTGAACTTGCACAACGTTCGCTGAAGCTCCTGCCCTAGCTTTTGTAGTTCCCATTCCATTGTTACTGCAGATGTTACCCATCGCCGCTAGTTCAATGTCACCTGATTCCGCCATTTTCCTGGAACTCATCCTTTTGAAACGTGGCCACTCTGTCATTGGGGTGGCTCCCAGCTCTGCTGACGCAGACGCCTGGACTCTCACCATACTCGGCAAATGTATTGTCTGTGAAGCTGCTGCCTGGACACTTCCGGGGAGAATAACAGTGCCACTGAGACCCTGAAGAACAGGGGTTTCAGACAGAGAGTTGCAAGAACGTTGGTATCGGTAGTGTAGAAGACCACTGTCATTTACCGATGTGCTTGGTGTAATCGAAATGCTGTGAGGTTCAGAACTCCTGCAAGAGAAAAACCAACAGTTAAAATACTTGAAAGGAAGTTTCACATTTATTACCCTGCTACTAATGAAAGGGCATGTACATTTTTTTGACTGCACTAACAGGATACCAAAACAAAACCATCACTTGTGGAAAATAAATTGCTGCTTCTAAGAGATCAATGAAACGTTAATTCATCACTGAAGTTGTAAAGGAGCATGGTTTACTAACAGTTTCAGATCAGTCAAATTTCAGCGAACACACACTAACCTTTCACAACAGCAAAGAAGGTCATATTTGCCACTTCTCCTTCTGTTTTTGTCAATTACAATCATTGCAGGGAAGATCACAATTACAGCAAGAAAATTGAACACAACAACAATAGCTGCCTGCAAAGAAGAAAACAACAATATTGAATACAAAAAAAATAGGTATTGTAGGTCTCAGAATCTTTGATCTAAGAGTAATTTCATGCCTCAAAAGAGGACATTTTTGTGAAATCTTGAGCATGTACTCAGTTTGTCACTAGTCTGTCTACGGACCCTCCATTTTGTCTTGAGTTTGTTGATATCACAAGCATAGTGAAACATTAACCCAGCACATGGGATACATGCCCTAGGCAGTGGGGCTGGGAAAAGATTTTGCGCCCACTTCTCGACTGTTCTCCCCCTCTGTGCTCGCACGCCAAGAAAAATAACTCATAGCAAAAGATAAACATCTTCTGTGGATAGACTAATGTCACAAGTTATGGGCCAGAAAAAATGTTCATCAAAAAAATCACCAGGAAATCAGTTTGCTATAAATGTTATTTTAACCAAAGTCTATCGGGTTAAATGTTCATCACAAAAACACCAGAAAATCAGATGGCCTATGTTATTTTAACCAAAGTTTACAGGCTTATAACTTCATCATTATGATCACCGTCAATAACAATATCCAGTGCTTTAATCCAATTTGCACAAACCTGTAAAGAAAATGACCTCAAGGCTGGTATGGGTATCAGTGCTGCCATGAAGAATGCAAACATGTTATTGAATGACGTCAAGAACACGCTGACTCCTGTGCTGGCAAGACAGTATACTGCTGGGTCCTAAAATAAAAAGCAAAATTACAGATTTTTAAATTGTTGCATTGCATACTTTTAACTAAAATGTCTAAGAGTGCAGAAATACTCATCACTTGACAGTGGTATTATTATTTTTCTTGTCATGAACAGATTATTTTATTAGTGAAATTATTTTTCTGGAAAGGATCTATTAATGTACGAATCACCATGGGAATTCAGAATTTCAAAACACTACAAAGAGATTTACGGCTAAAAGACTTTTGGTATGCATTATTAAGAAGAATACAACATGGTACAACTCTTTAAACTCTAAAATAATAATTATGAGGTAGAAGATACAATACAGACACGGAATGAAAATTATTAAGGGAGCTACTTTACGGTTTGTGCATCTTCAAAAGTTCAGCCTAAATTTTTCAGGTTTGTTGTTTGTAATCCATGTTTATCTTCTCCATCCTTAACCATCCTTGTTCCTTCATAATTTATTATAATATTTTTGGTGTTTCGTTATGTTAGTAAAGTACTATTTTCAGGTTCTCTTCAATTTTAAGGTAATTTTGTACATGCCCAAAATAACTCAAAATACCGTGACTGAGCTCCTTAATCTCTAAACATACCGTGGGAGGTTCCAAATCAGAAGAAATAATATTGTTCTTTACAATGTTACGAGCTTACCAGTAATCTAAATAAAGCTCTCACGGTCTCAGAAGGGGATTATCTTCAAGGGGCTTTCCTTGTCTGGGATACTTTTTTTTTTCTTTTTTTTTGGATGGGGGGGGGGAAGTCTTACATGTACTTTTGGTTACTTAAGGGTTGAACCATTTGACTTTTGAGGGGAGGGGAGGGTGATTGGGTATAGGCATGAATTTTTTTATAACCCTTTTCTTCTCTAGGAATTTTCTTTCTCGTTACATGTGCATGCATGATATTTTTCTCCAACTGTAACATGCTTTATAGCAGTTCACTGAAAGTGTGAGAAAGTTCTGGCAGTGGTTGTGTCCATGAAGATTTTTTGGTAACCATTATGCTGGAAGAATATTGTTTTTTTCTCAAAATCCGCCCCGCCACACAAAAGTCAAACAAAGCATCCCTTAGTTAAGGCATTACTATAATCATAGACATTGTAATTCACAAATTGCATGTACCTTGTTCTTATCTCTTGCCGATGAGTATGTGTGCGCCAGGAGGAACATATCATCAACACCCAAGCCCAGTGCAAGGAAAGGCAAAATCTGCAAGAAATAAACAGCAGTTCAAAAAAAGTAGCAAATATATATAACAATTAAGAAAAAAGAATCATGTTCCATGTTTCTATTGAGTTAAAGAAACACTAGAGGAAGTTTGGGAGAATGAGAAATGCTGTGGGGACACAAGCCAACAGGCAAGTGTTTCCACAGCTTTTTCAAGTTCTCTCCAACTTTCTCAAGTTTGAACTCAGTGCATGCTTCATCCAAAATCCAAATTTCATCATCCAGTTAGCCACTGCTACTTACGTGTAATCTGTCTCCACCTCATCCAAGCCAATTTTTAAACAAGCTTATCAACAGTGTCTCCTCACAATATTTTATTACTACTTCTCCAACTATTTTAATTAATAATTCATCAAGTTTAAACAAAGGAAATCATGACTGTGACGGTGTTTGGATAACGGATCTTAATTAGCATAGATTTTTACAATTTTATTTCTCTATTTTAGTCTTAGTTTAGTTTCAATTGAGAAGATATATCAAGTAATACTCAAGACAGTGTTTGACCACATTTTCAAACACCTTGAAGTTCATCAAAAATACCCTGCCATACAAGGCTGTGGTCTAAGAAAAATTACGAGGAGCCTGGGCAAAGGTTCCTAACCATGAAATCCTGGATGCCCAGCACTTGAGTTTTGTAAGAAGAAAGTAAGTTTATCCAGTCACACAAAGGTAAAAGTTGGAGCATGCCTGTGGCACCTGGGC